TTGATATGTCCACAGTTTCACTGCTGGTCGTATAGAGGTGTCCTGATACCATCCCTTGGTTTTCTCTATAGTCTTCAAATTCTGATATATTCTCTGTTACTGACAAAAATGTAACATTTCCTCTGAACCTGCTTTTCATTAAAATGTGCTGTTGCAATTTGCTTTCAGTCACGTCTCAGATGCTAATGCTTTGGGGTAAGTGCTCAGGTACCGGGCTTCAGACCTCAGCCTCAGAGTTTCTCCTTAGTTGCTCCTGGTTGCACTTCCCTAGCATGTCACAGGGGTCACTAGTGAGTGTCCACTCTTAATGGAGGATGTAGGACAGATGAAGAAGCTTCTCTGCACACGTGTATACACCGAAAACCAGTGGAGAACTAACTGCAAGGTCAGACCAGGGCAACTACCCCCTTGCTCTCTGCCCACCTCCCTTCCTCACACCACAGACTTTGTTAGGACGTGGATAAGAGAGAAGTCGGTCTGTGTGGACTGTGATGATGCCTCAGTGAAAAGGGATCTGACTTTTCTTAGCCATGTCCTATCACTCTCCAAATTACATAATTTGCCTCAATAAGAGTAGTTCTCAAAGTTACTCCAAAGCCTCTTTCTCTTATTATATCATATTTTGAACCAAATAGAAACACTATTTTGAACATAGGTTTAATACAATTTCTCCCTCAAAATTTATGGAATTTTATCACATACTAAAACATTTTATGTATTCGAAACATTTATCGTGAATGAGTTGACCACCAGCCTCCTAATGCTGTGACCACTCATGTAAATGACAACTTACTCTGCCCCTTTATATTTCAACAGCTTTATGTTAGGTTTCAGCTGAAAGATAAATTATACACAGAGAAAATATTGTTTCCTTTTTCAGACTGCACAAATTTTTTAAAAGGCTGAACCATATTTTTTACACGGTTTCACGTTTAATTCTGCAGAGTTGAAGCTGACTTTAATATAAGTGAGTGAAATTTGAAATAATACCAGACCAGGTAAGATCCAGAGGAAAACTTCCTAAGAATTGCATTTTCTTTTGTGTGTTTATAATAAGCATATTTTAACTATAGTCTCAAACATATCATAAGCAATCTCCACCTACCAGTATTACCAAACAGTGTATTCAAGTATTTAAACTCAAGTTCTTTTTATGATTAAGGGGTAAAATATGATTGAGTACAACAAAATATTCTCCCATATGTGTGATGGTTAATGCTATGTGCCAACTTGGCAGGGTCACAGGGTGCCTGATATTTGGTTGAACATGACTCTGGGTGTGTCTTGTGAGGGTGTTTCTGGATGAGATTGGCATTTGAAGGGCAGAATGAGTGAGGCAGATTGGGTGGGCCTTATTCTATCCATTGGGGGCCAAAATGGAATAAAAGGCTGAGTAAGAGAGAAGCTGGCCTTCCCAGGTGGTGCTAGTGATAAAGAACTTACCTGCCAATGCAGGAGACTTGACAGACGTTGGTTTGACCCCCAGGTAGGGAAGATCCCCTGGAGGAGGGCATGGCACCCCACTCCAGCATTCTTGCCTGGGGAATCCCACTGAGAGAGGAGCCTGACAGGCTACAGTCCATAGTGTCAAACAGGGTTGGACACGACTGAAGCGACCTAACACGCACAAGAGAGAAGCCACACTCTCTCTGCCTGTCTCTGGGTTGGGGCAGCGGTCTTCTCCTGCCTTGGACCTGGACTCACACCAGAACTTATTAGAGCCTTGGTTTTCCTGGTTCTCTGGCCTTCAAACTCAGGCTGGGCTTGACACCATCAACTCCTTTGTTTTCCAAGATTTGAACTCAGACTGGAATTACACAAAGCCTCAGGGCCTCTAGCTCACCAACTGCAGACTAGAGACTTAGCCTCATAATCGTGTGAACCAATTACTTATAACGAATCTCCTTTACATAGTTGTGTACAGTTAACTGTAGCACCAGTATAAACAATGATGAGTGAGGCACAACTCACATAATTAAAATTGTTATGTTTTATTTTTCACTTTACTCAGAATCCTTAAAAAGATAGGCGTATAATTATCTTCCAGAGAGACAGTTTGTCTTCAATAGGAAAAAGAAAATGACATAGTTCCCACATGAGTACATCAGTAGCTAAAAAACAATTGAGTTCACATCGATGTCCTGTTTGCTAGAAGGATCTTACTGTCAATATCAAGGAACTTTAGACAAAGTTCTATTATTTTTACTAGAACATAAAGTTCTAGTAAAATAAAGTTCTGTTATTTTTCTTATCTAATTCCTGTTTTCTATACAGAGATGTCTGCCTAAGATGCTTTACACAACATTCCAGACCATCAGGCTTCTTTCTTTTTTTTTTTTTTTTGATGTCTGATCTTATTTATTTGTTACTCTTAGAACATCTCATTTTTGACTGGACTCAGACTTAGAAGTAGAAGCTCTAAAATGAAAACCAAACAGATGAAAAATCGCTTGACACATTTTCTTTTCATAGAGGAAGAGAGGTATGCCCCCTCTCACACTAAAATGAAATGTACAACTCTGTTGAGGCAAAATTAGCCACTTTTTCAGACCTTCACAAAATGTAATTTTCTACTTATTCTATGTTTGCCTTGCAGTTTAGCCAACATTTTTATCTTAATAGTAGTATTGCCAGGGCTAAAGTTCATAGTTTGCATTTGTGCATCTTATTTTGTGCAATATCTTGTATGCTCACTGAATTAGAGATACCTGAGTTAGTTGCTTAGGGGTGTGTGCTCACTTACACACACCCCTGGTGGCTATCAAGTCTGAAATTAAGATCTTGGCAGGGCTGTGCCCTGGAGAGTGTGGGGAAGAAGTCCTTTCCATGTCTGTCTCTTGGTTTCCAGTGCCTTCCAGCAATCCAGGTCATTTCTTGGCTTGTAGCTATGTCTCTCTTATCTCTGCCTCCCTTTTAAAGTATCCTTCTTTCCTGTGTTGCTGAGAATGTCAAATAACCCTCTCCTCCTCTTATAAGAGTTAGAGTCCATATTAAATCCAGGATGACCTCACTGTGAGATCTATAATTTAATTAAATCTTCAAAGATCTTATTTCCAAATAAGGTCACATTCACGGGTACTGAAAGTTAGGCCTTGGACATACTTTTTGGATAGTCACACTCAACCTGGTATAATGTCTAATTATTATCTGATGGTGCTGTTTATGAAAGTGTGACAGAAGAGAAGTTTCAGTAATTTAACCTGCTACAATTTAATAACAGAATGCTCACTAGAGGGCTTCTGCTTCTGGCAAAGATGGAGTAACTGAAGTCACATTAATCCACCCACAAGAAAGAAATTTAAACCTGAGTAAAATATATAAAATATTGGGCCATAGGCAGGACAAGACTGTAATACCTGTTATAAAGGGAAACAAGTTGAGTCCTGCAATTTTCCAATTTTACTGCCAGGATATAGTCTGCAGGCTTCAGTGCAGTATGGGGGGAAACAGAGCCCAGCAATCTTCCTGAAGTGAGTAGACAGAGGTAAGAATTTGGGAATGTCAAGGTAGGTACAGTAAGTAGGATTAAGTACTAAAGTGGGGGAAGGGAGAGAGTGAGATCCAGAGACCCAGCAATACCCAGGGAATTTCTCAAGTCTTCAGGTCACTAAAGTGTCGGAGAAAAATAAAGAGACTGGGCAAAGAACCAGAGAAAAGGAAAGAAACAGGTGGGAAAAAAAATCCCCCAAATGACCTAGAGTTTGGGAGATTTCAGGTTCACCACTGCCAAACAAAACAAAACTAAACAAAAACCCAACCTCCCCCAATACAAAAAACAAAACCTAACAAAGAACAAAAAATCAAATAACAAAACCACAAAAATTCTTCTAATATAAAAGGATCTGAGTATCAGAGTACCCAGAAGGGTAATAAGTTCTGAACTGTAACTTAAAGATATTCTTCAGGGTATATGGTAAAAAAAAAAAGTCAACTTTTTCCCCCCATGTGTCTACACTGTGCTATGTTTTTGAGATATAATGATGAATTAAGCAACATTTACATTTCATAATAATTTTAACTATCAATCACCTATAAAGCTCATATAATTCTCAAAGGGAGACAAAACAGCTTTATATGTCAGCAAAAAATAGAGGTGAGTTTCATAATTCAGTACTTTATGGTATATGTGAAAGACAAACTTATAAACCCTTTAATTATGGGAGGTATGAATGAGTTAGAGTACTTACAAGTACCTTGTTGGTAAGAGAAAAAGGAAAAATATCTTTCTTAGCTGTGTCACCTCACACTGGTCAGAATGGCCACCATCAGAATATCTACAAACAATAAATTCTGGAGAGGGTGTAGAGAGAAAGAAGCCCTCTTACACTTTTAGTAGAAATGCAAATTGGTGTACCCACTATGGAGAACAGTACGGAGATGCCTTAAAAAACTGAAAACAGAGCTACCATATGATCCAGCAATTCCACTGCTGAGCATATTTCCAGAAAAGATGAAAACTTTAATTTAAAAACATATACACAACTCAATGCTTATAGCAGCACTGTTCACAACAGCCAAGGCATGGAAACAACATAAACAACTATCAACAGAGGAATGGATAAAGAAGGTATGGTGCATATATANTAATGAAATGTAGTTAAAAATTAAAAAAAAAATTAAGTGAAGTAAGTCAGATACAGAAAAACAAATATTATATAATGTCACTTATATGTGTAATCTAAAAAATGATACAAATGAACTTATTTACAAAACAAAAGCAGACTCACAGACATAGAAAACAAACTATGGTTATGGTTATCAGAGGTGGGGAAGGGATAAACTTGACATATACATACTATTATAGATAAACTAGATAATTAATAAGAACCTATTGTATAGCACAGGCAACTCTATTCAATACTCTGTGATGACCTGTATGGGAAAAGAAGCAAAAAAGAATGAATATGTGACTGATTCACTTTGCCGTACACCTGAAACTAACACAATGTTATAAATCAACTATACTCCAGTAAAATTTTTTTAAAGAAGAAAGGCACATAAAAAAGAAAAAATAGCCAGTGTCTTGGAAGACTCTATGAGGTTCTCCAGAAAACCATGTGGAATGCTGTATTTGTGACTTATACCTGTAATAAGCAGTAAGTTGGGGTCAGGCTTGCAGCCTGCTGTCTCCACACAAAGAACAATTCTCACCTTCCTCTCCAGTTCATTTCCAGTGATTTGTTTCACTGGATCTTGCTGCAAAATATCCATATGGAAGTTGGGATTTTTGTTTGTTTTCGTGAGATCTTGTCAATATGAATTGTGTTAGAGATTTTATTATTAAAGAGTCAGTTTGCAGAATCTGAAGTAAAAATAGATGTGGCCACTAACTGGAGATGATTCAATGTATGGAAATTAAGTGTTTGAACCAAAAATAATAATACAATGCCTAGTTATTATTATTGTTATTTTTTCCTAAAAATACCACGTAAATGTAATGGTTTTAAGCATTTCATTTTTTTCTCCCCCAAACCTTCATAAAATTAAATGAATACCTGTTTTTTAAAAATAACTTTTCTCTCTTCCTCTCAAGGTAGAAGACAATATTCTTTATTTTGTAAGAACTTAGTACTTTGAAATCCTTTAAATATCAAGGTATAAGTCAACAGATTCAAAATAATTTAGTGTTCAGGTGTGATAAGAATCACCAAGGGCACTTGTAAAAAGTGCAAATTCATACTTTCCAGACCCAGAGATAGTAATCCATTAGGCCGTTGTAGGAAACCCAAGAGTATGCATTTTTTTTTTCAACATGCAGAAAATGGAGGTGATCTGGTTTAAGCAGCTTAATATTTTGCAGCTCCTCAAAAGAGAATATTAGAGAATGGGGATGGACTCAAAGAGTAGCTAAGAACTCTTTTTAATTACACTATTAATTTAAAACAGTGAATTTCTGGAGCAGGATACATCACACACTTAAATATAATAATTCCAAATGTTAGTCATTTTTGCTTTTGTTGTTGTTTTGAATACACACATATGCTTTCTTTCACTAGGGAAAATAAATGAGAATAAATTATAATTGAGATCAAGAAAAATTGTTCGAAAATGGCTAGAACATGAAAGAAATCAGATTCGAGGGGTACATTATATATGATTCCATTTATATGAAATTTTAGAATAGGCAAAAAGTAATCCAGAATGACAGAAAACAGATCATTCGTGGCCTGGAGCATAAGGCTAGGTGTGATAAGAATCACTCTGCTCCAAAGAGGCAGAAGGGAACTTTTGGGGTTGCTGGCAATGTTCTGTGTGTAGTGCGCAGTGGTGCTTATATGAGTGTCTATTTGCTAAAGCTCATATAGCACTGGTCACTTAAAATGGGAGAATTTTATTGGATGCAAATTATACCTCATTAAAGTTAATAAATAGACTGTAAGATATTTGTGTGTGTGTGTGCTTTTTTAATGAGGCCAAATTTCTGAAACAACTATGTTAGGGAGCTCACAAGATCTCAAGCAGGACCATGGAATTAGGCTTAGATCCTACTGCAGGGAGACCATGAAAGTGAGTTTCTGGCATCCACCTTTAGGAGGTGGGATTCCCAAGATGGAAATTTTCCCAACTGTCTTGATTTTTGCTGCTTTTATTTGTGTGTACCTGTGTGTATGTATTCTTGTTTTGAAATTTTAACCAGTACCAAAAAGGATAAAGAGGAAAATAACATTCCTTCAACACTCTCTTTGCCTAGTTTTAATTACTTCAACATTTAGACATATGCTTCTGAACTATTTTGCTGTTGATTCTTTAACACATACATATTAATGAACACATAGAAAATTCATCATCATAAAAAGTAGAGGACTATAGGTAATGCTTAAGTTTACCCTGACCCCATGTTGCCATTTTGATCTTATTTATCCTCACTAGAAGCAAACCTTATGAGTTTGGTGTACATGTTTTTTAACATGTTGCATACATATGAATTTATAGAAAATGTACATATTACTTTGATTTTTACAATTTTTAAAAAATGGTATCACAATACCATGTACATGGTTCTACAACTCATCTTTTTACTGAGTGTGTTTTTCAGAAGCTCTCCCAACATTGATACACACAAGGCTAAGAGGTAGCAACTCTATCAGTACAAATAAATCAGTATAACGGGGCTAAAAGAAGATTTGGTAGCTTAGAGGAAACACTGTATTATTCATTCTTGAACACTTGTTAGGGATTTTTAGTAATCAGGCATTTTTGTTGTGATAGTAGAAAATTCTTATTCTGGATGCCAGTCTCACTGGGAATAAGTGCTGCCTCTCTGCACAAAGAGACAGAAAGCAAAGACAAAGTTAATGCAAACACAAGAATCTGACCATACTAAGCCCCAAACTTCAAAAGACATGGGCATTAACTTTCTAAGGTAAGCAAAGAAAGTGGAGATCTACAATTGCCCATTTAGACCAGTCTCTACCTAAAAAGGTGCTGGTTTGGTAAGCATTTTGAAAAAGCTTCTTTCCTCTAACTTTTACTAACACTACTCTCACTAATGCTATAGGCACTGCCTGGCAGCAGAAGCTATACAATGGTAATGAGATTTTTTTTTTTTCTTTCATTTTTCCTCTCCAACTGCTTTACTTCACATTTAAAATTCTGCATACAAATTTGCAATCTCAACTGAAAAATAATTCAATGCCATTAATATAAAAAAATTTTAAATATATTTCAATGAGAAAAATAGTTTTGCTTCACATCAATTTATTCAAAGTTATCAGTATAGTTAGTGACATTTCAGGTTAAAATTAAATGAAATTTTGGAAGATGTTAATCAAATATTTATTTATATTTTCAATTCAACAATTAGGCAGTGTCATTTTTAAACTGTACTCACAGACAGGTATAAGTAGTTGTTTGCGTCGTGGGGGAGTGGTAAGGGAAGCAATTCTTACAATGTATTCTCCAATCTACAGACACAGGCTTTTTCCCTCAAATAAGATGTAATAATAACAGCTGAGAATTATACACTGTTTGCCAAGTGCCAGACAATCATGAAAATATAGATTTTCACTAATTTGAACTTCCTGGTAACCATGTGAGACGGATGCTAGCAATAGCCCCAGTTTACAGATGAAGAATCTGATTCAGAACATTTATCCAAGGTCACACAATTAAGATGAAGCCGAGGTGGGATTTAAACCCACACAGATCAGCTAGGGAGTCACACATATTTTGCCCCTCCAAGTAGCAAAGTAATGTGATATCATCAAGTGGGAGTGGGTGAAACTTAGACTGCACTATTCCAGTTTTTTTTATGCTATTATTTTAAGAGTTTGGGGACCACTGTAATAAACATTGTAATAGCAGTTCCATTTCAGTTTTCTTAAAGACAACTATCATGTTCTGCGATTTTCTTTGACCTAGTGTAAACCACCATTTAAAAATTGAAGAAAACCACTGGTTACAAGACGGGTTTTTAGAAAAAATATATTTCAGAAAAAAAATTAAATTGTACATCTAATGGAGTGTATTGGTTCCTTAGAATTCTCACTGTGATAAGCTAGAACCCTGCTTCAGCAATTCTAGAATTTCTCCACAAGTTAGAGTAGTACATATATATATGTGTGTGTATTCATGGGAGTGTGATAAGCTAGAATCTTGCTTCAGCAATTCTAGACTTTACACTCAATTTACAGTAGAACATTCAATATATGCATGTGTATTTACGGGTGTATACTTGTAAACATATGTATATGTGTCACACACATATTCTCAACAGTGGGAAGTTTTTGTTCTCTAAGGATGGATTTTATCTGGCGATATCAAAGGTGTTTTGAGCTAACTGGGTGGGTGATTGAGAATCGGGCAACATTAATTTGAAGTAAAAATAAGTCTGGGCTGAAAATAATGAAATGGCCTTTTTAACATTCACTTGCCGACTCTGACATTTACTTTTGCTCACAAAGGCTCCAGATATCTTTGGATCCTAATTCCATCATAATATAAGTCTTCTTCCTGCTTCATCCCCCCACGTTTTTATGCCTGTCTTCATGAATGAGGCTCAATTTTGGAAATGTGGACACATGCAAAATTCTTTACACATAAATGCCACACTGTTTGCTAGATTATGCGCCAGTAAACACATATTGTGGTCAAAGCAGCATCTTCAGATACAATGAGGTCAATCCTACCTTCATAAACAGTTCATTAGAAGAACTTTTCATTTTTACGCTTGACTGAAAGCTGGTTTTCCTTCAGTGTCACATTTGTGGGAAAGAAAATCATTTACCCAGTCCAGGACAGATGAAGATCCACTTGGTGTGTGAATATGAGCTCTGTTCTCAGCACAATCTCTTGTGTCCAGGAGAGAAGTGTTCTCAAATGCTGCTGCCATCTGCTGGCCTTGTGGTTGTCAAATTTTAGAAAAAGCTGTGCATAAGGCTCCAGTCAAGATGATGCAAAATGCAAGCATCATCAGCAGGTAGTTTTTTCGACCCTGAGTAATAAAAAGAATAACTGTCATTAGGAAGACCTGAATCAAACATGTAAAAAAGCACAAACTCTCAAGATTTCTGTGGACCTTACTAACCATCTGGTCTACCTCCTGTATGCTTTTCCATTCTCCCTCTGTATGAATCTTCCAGATTCTCAGGTCCTCTATCATTACCCATTCAATAAATACATGTGCACTCCTACTCTCCATCCGCATGTTCGGGGATTAAAATGGTAAGGAAAACGTGCCCCTATTCAGTGACTCACGTAATGTGGGAGATGGGAATGAGTAACATGCAAACAGCGGTGGCTGTTGTGAGTGCGTCACAAAGAAACCTTAAGGAGGCAGATCTAGAGTTGAGTTGAGCTCCTGAGTATCAGTGAATTGGGGGAAGAGGAGGGCAGCAGATACAGATTTTGAGTAGAAGGAATGTATGTGCAAAGCTCTGTCGTAAGAGGAACATGGTACTTGCCAGGGGCTGAAAGAAGGTCTGAGAGGGTGGAGCAGTGAATTAAGTGCGGCTCGATGAGGCTGGAGGCTATGCATGTGCCTGAGCAGGCGGTATCTTAGAGGCCATGTTATACTTTGGATTTACTTTTCAAGTAATGGGAAGACATGAGAGGAACAGGCAGAGCCAAGTATGCTGAAAAGACAGGCTTGCATTTTGTAAAGCCCACACTTTTGCAGATGATGAACAGATTGGAGGGGGCCAGAATGGACGCAAGGGGACCAGTGAGGAGGTGACCGCAGCCCGGGAAGAGAGGATGAAGTGCAGATGGAAAGACAGAGACCAATCTAAAGGGCAAGGGAGAAATAGAAACAAAGATTACTCCCCCAGCTACATGTGGGTGCACTGGTCTTAAAGATGGAACCACGGAGGATGCCAGCCAATCTTTATATGAACAAACATATACCACTCTGTGTTCAGTAGAAATACTGTATTTCTCACAAGTTCCATCTCTGAGAGTACAGATAGATCAATTCTAATCTCTCTCCCACAAGATAAACCCTCAAACACTGGAAAATAAGTGTGCTGTATCTCTGAAGCATCTTTTTCTTTGGTCAATATTTTAGCTCCTCTGACCATCTTTCATAGGGAATAATTTCAAGCTCCCACATAGCCCTGGCTGTTCTACTCTGAATGATTGCAAGGCTAAACAGTCTATATAACTGTTTAAATGTAGACCCAATACTCTGAGGCAAGTGGAACAGGATCTCAATTACACTGAGATCTACTGGTAGTCAAATCATATGACACTATTATCAGCTTTTAGTAAAACTAATGACAATTAATATATAACCAAAATGTCAAAAATGTATATCCCCATTTTTCATCTGAATAAAGAATTGGGTTAGAGCAGGTGATTCTGCATCTATCTGATGACCAGAGAGGTCTTTTTAAGTTGGATTTGGCTGGCTGAATTGTCTGATTCACTGTCAGCACAAACTCTACAGAAGTCACTGGTATAAGTTCTACAAGTGAAAGACATCATAAAACCTTACCAAGACAGGGCAGCTAATTTACTCACACCCACATACAACACACACACACACACACACACACACACACACACACACACTCCTGAAGGCTTTAAGGTTCCCTGACAACTTTTTCTTAAAGGCTGCAGCCTTTCCCTATTTACCAGGACTGGTGCAGAGTAGGCATTCAATAAATATTTGTTCAGAGTCAATACACTCAATTTCCAAATGTGCTGTGTGAATTAAACAACTAATGAGATCGTTGACATAAGGAAAAACAATATATGGGGTCTCAATTATCAGCACTTTACAACCAAATTATGTGAATATGTTGTAAGCTCTCTGTTTTATTGTCTTTGGAGACAGAAGAACAATGTTCTCAGGGACTAAAATTTTTTTCCCTTTTAAGGTTAACAATCTGAGCAAACTGCCTAGTCTCCTAGAGAAAAAGACCAATTATATTTGGGCAAAAGCAATAGTTTTACTTTGTCAAAGGTGAATGCTAACTCTTAGAAAGAGCATGCTAACATTCTCCCAAAAGCAAAAAGTGTTTAAAGTGGATTTCTGAGACAGGTGCTAAAATGACAGATCATCTCATTCTTTATCTGGGAGTCGCTATTGACTTGTAAATTGTGGTAACAATTCCCTGCATTGGGATTACTGTGGACATTCTGACTAAAGTGTGTTGCTAAAAATATACTGGCGGTCTAGCTTAAAATAGCTAAATATGAGATTCTAAAACAAACTTTCCAAAGAGGAACAGATATCAGATAGAAAAGAATGTCACAAGGGCAAAGTGTCCAACCAGAGCACTAATGGCATTGAAATGAAATAAAATCTTTAAACTCTTCCACACGGTGCTCGGATCTCCAATTAAGTCCTCACTGCTGTAGGTTGTGGACTTTTAAATGTGTGTCTTCGAGGACTGCTTCAAGACACAGCTGACAGGACCTACAAGTCACAAAGATAAAACTTTTTGCTAATAAGGACCTACTGTACAGCATGGGGAACTCCACTCAATATGTAATGACCTATATGGGAAAAGAATCTAAAACAGGGTCGATGTATATAGATGTATAACTGATTTACTTTGTTGTACAGCAGACACTAATAGAACATGGTAAATCAACTATACCCTAACTAATGAAAACTTTAAAAAAAATTGCTTTGGTTTTCCTTTAGGGTTTTGTTTTTAAGAAAAATAATTAAAAATATTCAAATAGGATTTTGGTTTCAGTGTCTAGTTAAACTCTTAAACTCATTGGCATATAAAGCATTTAAAATGGTCCTTTAAGTCATCTGTCAAAAGGCAGTCAGGCATCTGCTTTGAATGATAAGTACACTGGACACTCCTTAAGTTCTGCTTGTAGACAGATTTGTAAGGTGTTTTAAGTAGAGTTAAAAGGTCAACGAAACTCCTTGAGCTTTCAGCTGTAGCCCGAGGCTCCTCTGTCCATGGGATTTCCCAGGTAAGAATGCTGGAGTGGGTTGCCATTTCCTTCTCCAGGAGATCTTCCCAACCCAGAGATTGAACCCACTGGCTCTTGCTTGGCAGGCAGATTCTTTACGACTGAGCTATCAGGGAAGCCCAAAAGGTCAACAAAATTTGCTGTGCTTTCAGCTTTGCCTTCCCTCTCTTTATTTGCATACATACCTGGCCAAACTCAAGCACTCACTTGCACATCTATAGATGGAGCACCCTGGGATTTTACTGGAATTACACTGAATGGAGATGCTGCCCAGTTACAATAGGGAGCTGTTCTATCAGGGATATGGTGAGTTGCTCATTTGTTATGACAGTCTTTGATGTTCTGTAGTAAGCTTCTGCAGTATAGGAAATTATTTCATAAATCCAGCATATTTCTTGCTATTTTCTTATATTTTTATCATTTTTCTTGGTATTAATAGCATTTATTTTTTTCTTTTTAATTGGTTCTTGGTGGCATGCTGGAAAGTTACTAATTTAATATTTATATTTCAGTGCCTTACAAAGTGATCTTATTGGTTCTCCAGATTTTCAGCCGATTCTTTTAAACTTAAAGAAGGGAATATTATATGCAAACAATATTTTTTCTTATTTTTCTCTTATGTCTTAATTTTATCTTAGCCCACTGGCTATGATTTCCAGAAAATGCTGAGTAACAGCAATGATGGAAAGATCTTTGACTTATAGAGAACTCATATTTTTTCAGTTCTATTGAGATATAATTGACAGAGAATGCTTATGTTTCACTTTAGTTATGTGTTTACATAGTTTTTGATAGACATCTTATATCAACTAAAGCTTTCTCTTATTTCCTATTCCTCCTATTGTTAAAGGTTGTTTTCTCAATTAAAAACTGATTTTTAATTTTAGTAAATACTTTTTAAATATATACTATTACACAGTTTCTTTTCTATTTAAAAACAGTACAATAAACTACATTATACATATTATGATCCATCATTGCATTCCTGAATTAAATCCTACTTGGTCATGTTTTATCATTTTTAAAAGCCCCTCCTCTATTTGGCCTGAGTTTTTTTTTTCCAGGTATCTTAAAAAGCCATTTGTCTTTTATGTGTCTCTTTCAAGGACTCTCAAGAATTAACAGTAGGCCCAATACTTAGGTAATCTCTTGCTCAAGTGAGTTCTTCTATATAGAGAAGAAGATTTTAAATTCAGTATTGTTATACTGTAAAATAATTTTTACATGTTTCATAATAAATCTATTCTTAGTTTATGTTTATTTATACCTACAGTTGTAAATAGGCTTGTGATTTTTCTAAGGCTTCAGCATGTTATGCTGAATAATACCCAGTTCTTAAATAGGAATCATTACCCTTCATGAAGCACATGAAATATTTGTGAAGAGATTTACAGTGTGCTTTGGCATAAAATTATTTTTTTGTGGAAAGCAATCCTAACTAAAATAAAGAACATATTCAGAAGAATAAATAAATGTTTTAAGCTGTCTTGCAAATTTAAAAACACAGCAATCAAGACTGTGATCCAAATATCTCCTAAACAAATTTATTACTTCTTTAACCTGAAAATCTTACTTGTATTAACATCTTATGACTTTCTAAGTCAACACATTTCATTTGAAATGAATGAAATGACATTTTCAATCTAAAATTGAGTAATCATTTTAAGAATTTTCCTGGGACATGTTCACTTTATGGCTCCCAGAGATTAGCAACATCAGATCTTCTTAGAGATAGGAATTATTTGCTTCTTGTTAAGACAAAAAATATTATATTCATAATGCCTTGACAGTGTCTCTAATTTATATTGTTTTCAGTAAAAACTACTACAAAATATCATTTGTATAGCCTTAACTGAAGGCTTTTTCCACAAATAAAGGTAAAGGGGAAACATCTTAAAAACAATTTTTAATGAAAACACACACACACATCCTAGAACTACTTGGTAAAAGCATTTTAAGTCACCATCATTTACACTTGAGAGGGTATTCTCCTATAAAGATGCTGGTTGGATGTGGAGGACTTTGGAAGGGATGAGATTCAACAACAACAAAAAATCTATTCTCAAATTCCATTTGCCTCAAGGATGTTTTAATTTTGGGGGTAAAAATTTTCATCTTGTCTATCTAACGTTTTTCACTAGATAAAATTTCTATTTATCTTATTTTATTGGATGATTTAACCAAAATCTCTTAAGGGAAAATAAAGTCAACTAAAGCATTTTTCCTCTAATGTTGGGGTGGAGAAAAACATATCCATAATAATGATCATATAGTTAGTATTTTTTTTTCTAATTAGAGATGATAACACTTTGAATATCTGACCTGTAAAATTCAATCACATGTTTTCTGCCCTGGGCTTTGGTGTTGCAGTTTTCAAAAATAACACATAGTATTAAATATATTTCTTGACTGGATCTACACTTTTGTGTACATACCTGTATTTCCTTAAACATGAAGACACCCCACATTGCAGCTATAAATCCTGGACCCTTAAATTAAAAAAAAAATTAATTAAATTGACTATTTTTCTGTGACTGTACTCTACACAAATACAGTAAGTTGGAGAGCTGACCTGACACTTTCATCAAATAAATTTTGATTGTAAAAACAATATAACAACATTGTCAGGAAAAACTATTCATAATCTCAATTCAAACTCAACATTAAATTAAACTAAGCAGCGTTAGGAGAAAAACAAAGACTTTTTTCCTTTTTCTCTTTATGGTTTTCATTTTTATTTTTTCAATAATGATAGAATATTGTGTGCCATAGAATGTTTTTCTTCAATGTGATTTGTAACAAAATATTTTCATAAGCAAACAGATAATCTTTTTCACTAGTTTCTCAAGATACTAGAAACGGGCTCAATAGGAAAAAGTGTATGAATACACTTACAACTTCCTTCAGCATGAGATAATTTCAAAACTGAAGAAATTCTAGTATGTTATTTTGGACCTGAAATATAGCACATAATTTAAAGTTTTCCTTAACTAGAGAAGGAAATGGCAATCCACCCCAGTATTCTTGCCTGGAGAATTCCATGGACACAGGAGCCTGGCAGGTACAGTCCATGGGTTTGCAAAAGAGTAGGACACGACTGAGCAATTAACACTTTAACTGATATTACTGGTCAGTAATCAGCTATATCTCACATTTCACTCTAATGAATGCTAAAGATAGTATTATGGGAAGATGGAAAAATCATGATGGAAAAATAAACAGTGGGTTAGTGAGCAGGAGACAAAGACAGGAATGAAATAATATAGGACAAAAAGAAGAAACAAGATGGAAAAAAGGATGATTCTGCAATTTGAAAATTTTAAGCACTTAAAGCATATTTATTTATTTATTTTTGCTGAGAAAGGACAACATTGGAACTTAGATCAATTGCCGTCTTTGTGGAAAAGATGTATTGTATCTGTGCTCTGATGATTCCTTTTCAAGTCCTGCACAAACTCTGGAAGAATTCCAAATAAACAATCCCAGCCTGTTTCCCCCTGTTTCCCAGTTGTACATGACTGGATCAGCAGAGCTGGACTCCACTCCTGACAGGTAAGCCAAGCAATGGGAACACATTACTCTGTTTACCAGGATCCAGAAAAGTCAAGATCCAAACAGTCAGAGAAATAGGTCAAAGGAACTGTCTTCCACCAATGATGTATGGTCCTAAGCCTCAAAAATCCAAACCAAACAAGAAATACCTGGGCCCTTTAGCAATTCCACACTGACTTTGGGCAGGATGGGAGGAAACTATAGCACAGGGCACAAAATATTAATGTTATCATGCCAATCACGCTTTATCCTCCTCAATCTGGAAACTCATCTCCCTTTCAGAGTACATGGGCGAAGACAATACCAAGAGGTACCGTTGACCTCTGCAGGTTTTTGGCTGATGATTTTTTAAATATGAGTTTGGCCGTGGCCTAAGGGTTGTTGCAAGGCGCAACGTAGCGCTTTGCTAGAAGTAATCCAAGCATAAGTCAGTGTGACTGGCTCAGTTCAGGCAAAGGAGATCCGAGTAAGGCGGCTGTTCAGTCCTTGAGTCACAGCCGAATCTTTGCGAGTAGGGAGGGCATCTTAAACAAAGGAGACAACTGTTTTGGCATTGGGATCATGCATTTTTCTGTTGTAAATGAACACAGACTACACGTGTATAAATTGACCTTTGAAAAGAAGGTGAGCTGGAGGCATCTGGAGAGGCTGACCCTTCTGGGGAAGCTGATTCAGCTGTTGAGCTCCTTGAGGAAGACTGGAAACAGAGCCCTTTGTCCTGCCACATGGGCTTCTCTTCTTTCTTCTCCTTTTTGCTTTTTAACTGAATATTTGCCAAAGAACTATATAGATAATGCTTTCAAGGAACTCCTGGTCTAGTCACCAATGGGTTCTAACAATGGAAATACATGCTCTTGGGAGGAAAAGTGTGCTGCTGGGATTTGAAAAATGTACTCTTGATGAAACAAGAGGAACCAAATCCATACTTCTTAAAGCTAGGTGGTGGGTCTGGTTGAAATTTTCTATCAAAAATGTTAAACTTAGAGCAAATCTAGCTTTATGAGGAAAATAAAGAAGAAAGTAAGATCCCAGAGGGTATGGTTGAACTTTTTCTGCATGTGGATAAGGCCATCTGCTGGGAGCCGTTATGGGGGGTCCCGCCCGTGACGAGGTCATGAAGAAAATACTGGGCAGGCAAGGCCGTCCGGGACCCCATCCATGACGAGGTCACGAGGAAAAAACCGGACAGGCAAGGCCGTCTAGGATAAGGGAGCCTCCAGGTTGGCCTCGGCCTCTACCCCACCCTGTATCCTCCCTCCTTATTTCTGCTGTTGTTCTTGTTTGCCCTGCTGCGGATTCTTGTGTTGCCTGCCGAGAGCGCTCCTGCTCCTCTTTCACTGGATAAAGACCAACTTAAAATCCTAATTAATAAATCTCCTGGATGCTGGTACTCTATGAAGGGGCCAGGGATGAAGGAAATGCTTCAATTCAAACCCTTTTGCTGGCATTCTGGCTTGTGTGATAAATATGTGCCCTCATTGCAAAAAATGCTCTTGATTGTTCTAAACATCCTAAGCACAATACGCTAACAAAAGAAACTATTAAGCATAGGCCCCTTCACGGGGTGAGAAAAGCTCCACAAATATGATAGCCACAAATGTGCCTAATAGAAAATACTTTAGATAGAGATTAGCTGGCAACTTCTTGCAGGTAGTTAACTTTTAGACTAAGAGCCTGTTTTGTGCCATATCTGCTATTTTTGCAGTCCTTTGCATTTCTGTTCTGTAAAAATGTAATCCTATCTAGTTCCCATAGAGATGACGCTTATTAGAAAGAAAATAGATGAATTATAAGAAAAACAGGGTCGGCTACTGAAGTTGCTTAAGTCACACCAGGTGCAAGCCATAAAGTGTTAGCAGGTCTGAAGGCCAAATGATAAGAAAGACTCTTGTGAACGAAAAAGTATGTGGGTGACTCTCCACCCACACCCACCTGCCTGGCCAATTTATTTCCACTGCCTTTGGCAGTCATGTCTTGCCCTAAGTCTTCACTGTAATTTAATACAAGAAACAATGGTAGGAAAACCATATCTGTGTACTATAAAGTGTTTGTGAAGAATATTATTTATTATTGTTCCACGTCTCCCGTATAAGGACACACAGGATAAATTCTATTAAGAATTCAGCATTTTTAAAAGAACCAAAAAAAAAAAAAAATTACTGTTAGGAAATAATTACTTTTCTGAGGAAATAATGTCACCAGTTAAAAAGAATGAACTATCTCACTGTCTCACCGCTTCCGCAAGCACAAAGCAAAGCAATGTTTTAAAAAAAAAAATGTTTAATCACATGACTGTTTACCGTCTGTGCTGTTTGCTTACTCTCTCATTTTCCTCAAACTTTTGATTTTCTATTTGTGTTTGTATTTCTCTTTGCCTTGCGTGATTTAATTGTATCTGTGTGTTTTACATAAAATTGCCTCAAACTCATTTTGAACAATCCACATTTGTTCAAGAATACAGCTTGATTGAATGGCAAAATCACTGTCATATGACCAAGTTTAAGTTTGCTCTGAGTAATGACTTACCTGTTTCAATATGTGTCATCCCTCCTTATATAGTGGGATATGACAGTCATGCAGTATTTACATCCCTAATCGGGGTGCATTATCATATTGTATACTTTGCTCTACTAATTTAGTTAAAATTTGCTTAATTTCATTTAGTTTTAAGTATTTCACTGGTAAGTTTTACATCCCATTGCCCATTACATTTTTCCAGTTATATGGTCAATTCTAGCACTACCTATCTTTGAAAAAAATGAAAAACAAACACTTTTGGGAGAAAAATTTGGGTTTTTTACCACTTCAATGATGAGGACTTAAACTATTCCTTATAATTTGCTCAATTTTGATAACATTTTCCCTCAGTACAGATTAAGAATGTCAAAATTTGAGTCCTTTAAGTTAAAAAAACCCCCAACCTTTATTATTTGAATTTAGTTGTACACTAAAGCTAACTATGTTATGAACACAGTAGAACTGTCAAAAATATGCTATTTGAAACCCAGATTCCTATTAAAATTGAAGGATGTTTCAAATTTTTATGCAGTTGCATTTTAGACTAGACAATGTATTTTAAAAATTCAATTTTGTATGCTTGCACAGGTGTGTGGCTAAAATGTTTCGGGCAAATTTTATTTATGATGATGATTTAGGAAACAGGGGAGGCAGGTAAACAACTGAACAATCTAAGATACCAAGAGTAGAAATCAGAGCAATTAATTCGTGTGTTTGCATGTCAGTCCTGGCACCATAAGGAAACTGAAACATTCTAAACTGGATTTTATACTGAAGGCAGAAAGCAGCTCTGCATACAGGAAACTCTATACTGAGAAGCCTTGAGGGGTCCACGTGGCTGTGTCCCTTCAGATGATGCTCTTAGCTGCTGCTGCTAAGTAGCTTCAGTCGTGTCCGACTCTGTGCGACCCCATAGACAGCAGCCCACCTCCCCCGTCCCTGGGATTCTCCAGGCAAGAATATCAGAGTGGGTTGCCATTTCCTTCTCCAATGCATGAAAGGAAAAGCGAAAGTGAAATTGCTCAGTCGTGTCCGACTCTTCGCGACCCCATGGACTGCAGCCTATCAGGTTCCCCTGTCCCTGGGATTTTCCAGGCGAGAGGACTGGAGGGGGTAACCATTGCCTTCTCTGGCTCTTAGCTACTGTCTCCATTTTTTCATCTTCAAATCGGGGACAATCCTATCAATACTTGTCCTGTCTATATCAAAAGAAACATTTTTGTTTTTCTGTTACCTGACTATGTGCTACATGTCTGGCACTCAAAAATATCACACAAAGCAAATTACATTATGAATGCATGATAAATGGCACCATCAAGAGACAATACTTTGCTTCAGTATTTTCTGAAAACCTTCTTTAAAACACTGACATACCCTATGAAGAGGGGCTAAGGTACTCTCTATCTCACAAGGATGCCATGAGATTCAAGTGTGACAATATACACAATTTTTATACCTATAAACTATTACATAGAGATAAATATTGTTATCAGATTCCCAGATGACTCAGTGGTAAAGAATCTGCCTGCCAATGCATGAGACACAGGAGAGGCGCGTTTGGTCCCTGGGTTGAGAAGATCTCTTGGAGGAGTTAATGCAAACCACTCCAGTACTCTTGCTGGGAAAATCCCATGGACAGAGGAGCCTGGTGGGCTAGTCCATGGGGTTGCAGAGTCTGACACATCTGAGCAACTGAGCACACACATTGCTATTAACAGCAAATTACAACGTATCCCAAATGAAATTAGGCAAAATGACCAAACAAAAACTGCAAAGGTGTCAAAGATGAACAAACTTGTTAAAATGAAGCTAGAAACACTCCCTTAGCAATCAAGGACGTGATTAGAGGTGTCAGTTTATCCACATGAATCTGTTACACTGACTGTACTTCTGAAAAATCAAACTCCATGACAGACTTCAGTGATTCACTAAGAAAGCTTCAGAAAAGTGTGATTTACATTTGGAAAGCAAGAATTTGGAAATGCAAGACAGCTACTTACGGCCGTGATGATTGGAAAACTGACCACAGCACTGAGAGAGTGGTTCGCTATGAACCAACAGCAGGTGGCGATCGCCCAGAGGACTCCGGACAGGAACCCTGAAACACACAGACAGCACACGTTTGCCAACCACATACCTCTCCAGAAAAGTCCACACTCCAGGTGGAGCGGGACCACTAAAGTGAAAATATCACACACTGCTATCAACACCGCCAGCCAACATGGGTTTTTGAGTCATGTCTATGACCATTTTGGAAACCAAATCATTTCTCTTTTTGTGACTGCACTGGATATAAGGATCACCTTTTACCTTATTGACATTAAATCAAGTACCCAAAGTGATAGGTGCAGTAAAGATTGGGTAGTGGAGCGGGACCCAGGGAAGGTACTGGGTCTGAACATTTTCTGAAAACACCATGTACTCTAAGCCACGCACGTAAAAGTATGTGAAATTCAGAATGATGCTTAAATAAGGGGGGAAAAAAAACTTGGAATCTGAATAAAAATACCAGCTTAAAATGTTCAGGATACTTTAGCTAGACATTCAGTAAATATTCAACCATTTTTCTAAAACTGTATAGTGGAGTAGCGGCACTCCTTGGCTTAAATGAATCAAGCACTCAAAAGTGAATCTCTGATACATGATTTGTTTTGTTCTTTAAAAATAATTTATATATTATTTATAATTCTTTTTATATATTATTTCTCATTATATGTATGTCTGTATATACATACAGGTATGAGCATATATGGGCTTCCCTGGTGGCTTAGATGATAAAGAATCTGCCTGAAATGCAGGAGATATACATATATATATATATATACACACACACATACATTACATATATATATAATCACATAATACACATACATTACATATATATATAATTACATAATATATATATATTATATATATATATACACACATACATTTGATATATATACACATACATTACCATCAATGCCTAATAGATTAAATTCAAAAGCATGTATATTTGACATAACTTTTTTATACTCTGAAATAATTTCTCCTAACTTTTTGGAAAAAAAAAAATGCTTGTTTTCCCTAGGGACAATATAAAAATATGTGAAATTCAGAATGATGCTTAGCTAAGGGGAAAAAGAATCTGGAATTTGAATAAGGATACTAGCTAAAATTTTTAGGATATTTTAACTAGACATTCATTAAGCATTCTACCATTTTTACATCTACTAGTACATGTTATACCATTACTATAATGTATGAATTACAGTAAACATTCTGTACTATAAAATGCTATAATGGTATAGTGGCACGCTTTGGCTTAAATGAATCAGGCATTCAAAGTCAATCTCTGGCATATGCTTTATTTTGTTCTTTAAAAAATTTTCCTTGTAGATCTATATTCCACATTGAATTATAGTAAACACCTAAATATGTGAGAAATTATAATTCTTCATCATATATATATGTGTATGTATATATATATATTACCAACAATGCCTAACTAATTAAACCCAACAGCATGTTCATTTGACATACCTTTTTTAAACTCTAAAATAATTTCTCCTAAAGTTTTGGAGAAAATGCTTATTTTCCCAAGTGACTGCAAATTTGTATTTTCGGATATCTTTAAGAATAAAAGAGCCCCAACACTCTGACTTTTAACGTGTACCCTTAGTGAAGAAGATATTCTATAAAGTCTCATCACACAAGGTATATCAGCAGAGGAAACAATCTCAGATTCACTGGTCCTGTTCTAGGTTTAGTATTAGTAACTTGGCATTTCAAATGCAGTTTTATAGTTTTTAAATCTTCCATATTTGGTGGTGAACTGAGCCAGAGCAATTGAGTGAAGGAACACACAGACACAGACACACACAGACATACACACACACACAGAATAGCTTCATTTCCAGAAGACGAGTATTCAAGCTAAATTAATAGGGAATGGTGCTTTCAAAGAGTAGGAAGATTTTCTGTCGTAAAGATTCTTACCTGGCAAGACTGCTTCAGGATGTAGTTTAGGATTATTTTTCATGGCTACACAGTAGGCCAGAAAGTAGACTGTACTTGTGAGGAAGATGCCACTGAAGTGTGCAAAAACATAGTCTAAATCTGGAAGTACATATTATAAAAATCTCAAGCATATCATTTTAGTCATTTGAAATATATTTAGAGTTCTAAGAATAAAACAAGCTCACCAAAGTTAACCTTAACTGTAAAGGGGAAGCATTCATATATTTTATAGTGTCTTATATAAAACATCATTTTATAATGTTTATATTTATAAAGTATAAATTACATTTATAATGTATAATATAATAAGCTTTAAATTCATACTATTTTTCTACATGCTATTTATATAGAATTTTAATTAACATATTTAAAATATTAAGAAGTTAGTTACTATAATCAAATCTAAAAGGCTGGCTTTTATATTGTCTTGGAAAGCTAAATAAGAAATGACAAACATTATGTGAATATAACATTAATATCTCATTTTTTAAGAACAGGTACTCAGACTTAATATTACTGATGGCTATAGAAACTGTAGCAAATCTCCAAGTAGATGGTATTTGGGGGGTAGTATGTAAAAAAATTTGGCAGTGCTGATTTTATAGGTTGTATTGATCAATCTGGAAACCAGTGTCCAGGTTGCAGCTATACAGAAGGATATTCAGGAAGTTATTCCAGAGGATTTAATTATTTATTATAAAACTAATTACGTGGAGAAGTTAATACACAGATGGTGGCCCAAATTCTGAGAAACCCAACTCCACTGACTAAATCAGATTGCCCTTTTCCATAGAGATGGGTGTAGCAGGTTCTTGGCCAGAAGGTCACTTTGGGCCCAGTGTTTCTCTCAACTAAATCGAGAGGATGAGCAGCCGTGCTTAGAGAGGAGAGCTTGAAAGTCAAAGGGCTTGTCTATTCTTCTAAAGTCTTACATCCTACTTCTGAGTCATATCACAACACGTCTGTCTCAAGACCATCACCAAAGGCAGCTTAAGCTAGCAATCAGAAACACAGACCACCTGGTGAGACTCCTGAATCCACTATTTGCTAACTTGGAGACTTCGGTAAACTAACTTACACGTCTGTCTCATCTTATTGTAAAACCAGGATAATAATGGTACCCAAACAGTAAAGCTGCTGAGGGTCAATCAAGTTATTACTGTAATTAGAAGAGTGCCCAGGATACAGCATATACTATTTATGTAATCATAAAATAAATGAAATAAAAACTATGCCCCCCTGAATTAGTTTTGAGTGAATCGAAATAAAGTGTGTTTCTATCAGACTACATTGGAGTTGTCATAAAAAGATCCCTTAGACCTGATTGTACTATTAATGTGAAGAGATTACCAAGGACATTGTTCATTATGCTCCAGGACCAAGAACAACTGTGCTTCTGAACAATCAGTTGTTTTCATCTTGTGTTTGCTGAATTCCGGGACTGATCTGATTTCCTTTGTGGCTATAAGAATCTTAGAGCCAAATTTATGACTCATTGCTAGCAAGTGTACAAGCGCGGTGCAGTTTTTAAGACTCGTTCACGGTTACATTTTACTTGTTCATTCATTTTCCATTCCCTCTTAATTTTTCCTAAGTTATTCTGTTTTTATTAGATTTTATCCTTTAAAACAAAAAGAATAAATGTACAAAAAATACTTGCATAAAATCTTAAAAAGCACAGAAGGTAATAAAAGTACTTTGGGAACTGTTTGTGGGGCCAAACATAAAAGGGAAAAAACAAACCATGATATCTATTCAAAGTCAATCCATTCATTTAGAGTCCAGATCCCAGTTTTTCTATCCAACTTCCCCTCGTGACTTGCCCTCCAAACTTCTCCCTTATCTGAACAGAGATGATATTCATTTTCTGTGTCACTGAGGTAGAACTAACTTAACCATGATCTCCTTCTTTTATCATCATAGATGTGAGCCACATTTCAATATAATCACAGGATCCTGAACTAGACCCTCTCCTCTCCTTCTGAGCCTGTAGAAGGCTGTTGCACGCAGTGCGGAGGTGACATCTGAGAGATGAATTCTATCACTAGAAACTGAGACAATTTGCAAGCATTACGTTGGGTCTTTCAATGTACTATTTTGTGCTTGAAAAATAATATCCTAAGCAGTCTATATTTTGACCTTTACTTGATTTGAAAGCACTGTATGCTACAAAGTGTATGCTACACTTCAGTTTCTTTTTTAAAGAGGAGAAGAACACACATTTTCCCAGAGATCATCAAACTGGAAAATAATCTCCAAATCTTGCAGCAAAGCCAGAAACCACATGTTAAGATCCAAGTAGCTGAAATGAACCTTGACTAAAATCAATTCCATTCGTATGCTGAAGATCATACAAAAATATTGAAATAGTCCTTTCTTTTAGTTTCCAGGGCCCTTCTAATTCACCACTTACAATGACAAAGAAAGATCAAATCTGATGAAAGGAAATTTATACTTTAAGATGAGATGAGAAAGCTTAAGCATAAAATTCTCTCTGTGTCTGTCTGGGCTTTCTCCCTAACACAAGGAGTGCACCTGCCTTTTACTTTAATCGGAGCTTCTCAAAGATGAGGGTGCTTGCTTGACCATAAAGATCAATTTCTTTCTTTCTTCTCATGCTAGTGATGTATTAATAACTTCTCAAAAGAATAACATTCTTTCCCAGCTCTGCAGGGGGTCATGGTGACTGGCTGTTCACTTTGTACTATGCTTCCCTAGACTATGTATCCTTGGTGAACTTTATGTGAAATGTCAGTATGTCATTTTGATGTACATCCTTTGTCTCAAAAGTGCCTTCAACTTTTAACAGGTGGAACTGTTCTCAGAGCTTCAGAGAGTTGGTCCCTCGGGTTACAATTCTCAGTTTGGCTCAGATAAAATTTCCTTTTTTTATTCTTAACTTGATTTTTCATTATATTCCCATCAACCAATCTATGTACCAATATCTACCACCGTCCATTTCTTTTTATAGTCTTAAGTAGAAACACAGGTATTGAGTTTACTTATGAAGTAAAATGACTTTTTCCTCTCACCATTCTGGCTTGCTCCTGCATATATACTATCATTTCTCTTACTGTGGTCCTTGATGTAAATGATGGGCACAAATGTAGATCCATAGAGAATTCCAGATATCACTGCGAGACTGCAGCCCCTTAAAAAACAAATACATTCCTATTCATCTTGGCCCAAAGCAATATTTCTGCCAAACACACAAATGGAATCATACCTAAAGCATGCTTCAAAATGTAAATCACAAGGCATCATGTAGCAATTACCCTTTTATCTCAATTGGGGTGATGAGCAAAAGTCCCAGAAATGGCCTGCAGCATCCAGTTACCTTGTTGGGACACAGCCTCAGCCCTTCACTATCTAATGGTGGAAGGACATGATTTACAGACACTGTAAAGGATTATTATTATAAATTGTCATTACATAGGTGAGAACATTGCCATCATAGTCTACAAGTGACATGAAAAAACATGGCTCTCTAACTAAATTAGGGCTTCACTGGTGGCTTGGTGGTAAAGAATCCGCCTGCAATGCAGGAGACTCGGGTTCGATCCCTGAATCAGGAAGATCTCCTGTAGTAGGAAATGGCAACCCACCCCAGTATTCTTGCCAGGGAAATCCCATGGACAGAGGAGCATGGAGGGCTGCAGTCCATGGGGTCCCAAAGAGCTGGATCATCCTGGGTGACTTGTAGGATCTTAGTTCCCCAGACCAGGGATTGAACCTGGGTCCACAGCAGCGAAAGCACCAAGTCTTAACCAATGGACTGCCAGGAAATTCCTTAATAAAATAATTTGAATATTTCAGATAAAACATTACTTTTGTAAAAAGAAAATGTTTTGCCTTAAGCAGTAGAGTCATGTTGGGCCTTCATACTTGGGCTATATCTGCATGAAGCAATAGTGTTCATTGACTTTGGTGGGAGATGATTAATATTTTAGAACAGTCCCTTGAGCTTAACATAGAGGTGAATGGCATGAAACAGGAAAGAGTTTTAGGCAAAACCATTCCTTTCTAAGCTTAAAAATAAATGCTTAAAGTCTATTTTAGTGGTGCTTTGAGGAATATGAGACTGTAGGTACTCACATGACCAGTTAGCTCTGTTCTTGATAGAAACCTCTACATCGTGGTGAAGACCACGAATCCTGGAGGAGGGTCCCAAACACAAACCAGACTAATGGACTAGGCTGTCCAATGAGACAACTAGAAGAGTGCTTAACAAATATTCTCTTAATGAAGGTGATGCTTTGTGAAAAACATTTTGTTGGAGAGATCTATTTTATTTTAAAACAAAAATAACATATTTCTTTCTTCCAAAGCCCATAGGTTAGTTCATTCTTTCATTCATTTAATTGATTCCAATATTTTTGGGGGCATCTATTATGTGCCCAGCACTGCCTCTTTCCACTGTGAAGACAGTGTATATACTAACAAGAGGACATGCTTTCTGTTCTTAAACTGTCACCACATGAAGTCTAAGACAGTCCTCAATTGAAAAACGCAAGCTACATACTATCATGTATTCATATTTCTTATATAAACATATAAAGGTTCATACATAAAACATATCATTCTCATGTTTCTTTGCTAGTCCCCCAAACCCCTAAATATAGGAGCTATTGTTGAGCCTAAGTGTCTCAGTCTTTACAGAGAGAGCACAGGGGTGTGGACAAGGACCTACACGGACACAAAATATTCTATCATATTTGATAATAAATACCTCGGGATTATAAAACTCTCTGATACCAAGTGGAGGGATTCCCAGGGTACAGTGGTCATCCTGGCTAGAGATGTGGCTTGCCTAATTCAACAGTGATTGCTGGGAGTGTATTGGTTGTTACACTCTGTGGCCTGTACTTTTCCTTTTCCTTTTTTTTCAATCTTTCCTTTTACTTTAGGCATGAAAGTCCTGCAAAATGAGATTGCTTCTGTGAGCGACTTATTAACTAGAAGCACTGCAGGGGCTTAGGAATTCCTTGAAGCACTGAGACCAAGGCCCACTGTGCTGTAAAATTCAGCAAGGGACCAGAAAGTCTCTCTACCATGAAGTTAAGAAGTCAAAGCTTGTGTTCCCATTTTCATCTTGAGCTCAAATGGATACAACTCCATTCTGCTTATCCTTGCTGTAACCATATATGAAACAGAGTTAACAGAACCTCTTCTTACACTAAGCGGCTTTGTGCTGTGGAAAGTTTATCCACCCAGGAACAGTCAGGATCAGGATCTTGAGCTTTGTTAATCACCTAGTGAAAACATTGGCAAAAAAACAAAAGAAAAACAGCACTCAATTAATAGCCACACTGGTGACAAGATTTTCAGTGTTTTTCTCTTCTGTCTCAAATACACTTTAAAATAAAAGAAAACCATGTCACCCTGCATTCTGATTCTGTGGGCATCATTAGACTCATATGTTTCCGATTCTGTTTCTCTTTTATTCAGAATGGTCTGGTCTCTTTTAAAATGTTTTTCACAGTTTAATAAATGGTTACTTTGATACACTTATCAAAACTAACAAAAGTTATTAGTGCTTGCATTTTATTTGCAAACTTTAATAATCTGCCAAGAAATTAGAACTCAAGACTCTTCTACTATGGAGTACTTAAGACCAACAGGCATATTTTTATCCAGATTTTTTAAAACTAAACTGGTTGCTTAAACATTCCCTGCCTTTTTCCAGATTAGCTCATATTCTAACTTAGGAAAAATTTTGCCCAAGTTCATAATATTTCTAACAAAGTAATCATCTTTGTCTCTTAGCTGAGGTTTCCTTGATGCTATACTCCTAATAGTAAGAGATGAGAAATTAGAATTGAATTCTTTGTTATGTGCTAGGTCAAGCTTTCTTTTGACAACGATACTTTCTTCCCTCACGAGGACCTCCGGATGTATGACTGCATCATAATCAACACTGTATATGCATCTTTAATCTTAGTTGGCTTACTTACTGCCAACTTGATAGAAAACTCTAAGGCAATTAGACTCCTATGTAGCTTTCCCCAAGTTGCATTTATTTCCTCCCCTCCTCCATTGTTTAAAGGGAGGTTGGTTAGGAGGTATCTGGAACACTAAAGTAGGCAAGGACACCAGACACCTTCTCCCCATCTCACTTCTCTATCCTCTCTAAAGAGTTCTCTGATTAGAGATGCCCATGGATGAATACATCTCTTTCCTCTTACCCCTAAGCTACTTATTATTTAACTTGACCCCCCTGGTGACTCAGATGGTAAAGTATCTGCCTGTAATGCAGAAGACACAGGTTCGATCCCTGGGTTGGGAAGATACCCTGGAGAAGGAAATGGCAACCCACTCCAGTATTCTTGCCTGGAGAATCCCATGGACAGAAGAGCCTGGTGGGTTACAATCCATGTGGTCACAAAGAGTCAGAACAACTGAGTAACCAACATACTTAGTGTCAATTTAACTAAGGTTTCTGTCAGCTTAGTTGAGAAGAGTTTTGATATGGGAAAGATAAAAGGGGGAAGAAAGATAAATTTTGAAGTAAGGAGTAGGGATCATGGCATCCGGTCCCATCACTTCATGGGAAATAGATGCGGAAACAGTGGAAACAGTGGCTGACTTTATTTTTCTGGGCTCCAAAATCACTGCAGATGGTGATTGCAGCCATGAAATTAAAAGACGCTTACTCCTTGGAAGGAAAGTTATGACCAATCTAGACAGCATATTAAAAAGCAGAGACATTACTTTGCCAACAAAAGTCTGTCTAGTCAAGGCTATGGTTTTTCCATTGGTTGTGTATGGGTGTGAGAGTTGGACTGTAAAGAAAGCTGAGTGCCAAAGAATTGATGCTTTTGAACTATGGTGTTGGAGAAGACTCTTGAGAGTCCCTTGGACTGCAAGGAGATCCAACCAGTCCATCCGAAAGGAGATCAGTTCTGAGTGTTCATTGGAAGGATTGGTGCTGAAGCTGAAACTCCAGTACTTTGGCCACCTGATGCAAAGAGTTGACTCACTGGAAAAGACCCTGATGCTGGGAGGGATTTGGGGCAGGAGGAGAAGGGGACGATAGAGGATGAGATGGCTGGATGGCATCACCGACTCGATGGACATGAGTTTGAGTAAACTCCGGGAATTTGTGATGGACAGGGAGGCCTGGAATGCTGCACAGTTCATGGGGTCGCAAAGAGTCGGACACGACTGAGTGAACTGAACTGAGCTGAACTGAGCTGAAGGAGTAGAGGTTGTGCCTTCCAGGGGGGCATTGCCCAAATGGGGGGGTGGGATGCGGGATTGAGGCCAGCTTGCTACCACTGGACCCTGGCAGGTGGACAAGACATGTGACATAGGAGGACGGGAGCCTGTGCTCATGGCCACAAGGGTTTGCCCTGAAACTGCTTCTGTAACATGGAGCCTCTGGCACTGGTGCGGTGTGGGCTGTCTTGTAAAGGTTGGCCCTGCTTAATCTAGTTTGCTATGTTCAGACTCACTTAGCTTCTTTAAGGTCAAAATAGAGATTCCTTACCTAGTTACCGTCTTCACCTTTGAGTGGAAGAGATATGGCAGAAAAATGAGAAGAAAACCAAGTCTAATCCCTACATTCATATGACCTGATTTACCTTTTCATTAACTTCCTCTGATCGGTTCCCTGCTACCCTCCCTGGGGTTATGAAAACCTCCTCCCTCCTTCTTTCTAAGTACTTTTCACACTTCTCTGTAGTATTTAGAATTCCTGTGCTGCAACGACCTTGAGTGATTCCAAAATACAGGCTTGTATGAACCTCTCCTACTAGGGATCTACCATCAATAAAAATAACTAGACCTCTGTGCTTGTTGAGAAATTTTACTGTGGAAATATGGACTGACTGCTACATAAACCTACCCATGATAATTATGCTAAGATATTTCAGATATCCTTGATTTAACAACATACCCTACCAGCCTCTCATCTGAGTTCAAATCCATGCAATTTCCTTTTATCCTAATTTCATGTTTCAGATCAAGTTGGTTCTCACTCTGTACTCACATGCTCTGATATCAGTGGTGTGGTGTCCACAGAATATGTGTTATTTGGTATTTCACTTTTGATGAACAAAAATATGAAAGCACTGTAAAGAAAATAAATTTTAGTGACATTTATCATAACCCTGGTTCACATTAAGATGCCTGAATTTTAAGGGAAAACAGAGCTAAAATGAAGACCTAATGGTATTAATTCCAAACTGCCTTTGCAGGGATCCTGCCATTTCTCCAGCACTGACATTCTCTTTGATGTCTCTCCTTAACCTTAATTTCCTTCTTTTTAATCCTGCTTAGTCATGGAATCGCATGGTAAGAAAAACACAAATGAAAACTACATTGAAATATATTTCTCACCTGTTCTATTGACAAAACCCCAAAAGTTTAACATGCCTGAACAACCTGGAGGAGAAAAGCACCATTGATATGAGTGCAGACTGTGTGACCCCCACGGAGGAGACTCTGGGGCCACGTACCAAGAGCACAGGTGTGTCCACTCCTGCCCTTACCAATCCTGCTCCAGGCCCTATAACACAGGGACAGCCACACTCAGGTGAGCTGATCTTCATGGGCACGTGATGGAATACAACACAGCCATAAAAAAGGAATGAGGATACCCTCTATGTTCTGATATGGAAAGACCTCCAGACTATATTTTAAGAGATAAAAACACACATGTAAGCCGAATTTTTTTTTTTTACCCTTGAACCTCTCTCCTAATTTACTATCCATGTCCAGCATCTTTGTAAAAAATACCTCACTGACCTTGACTTTTAAACTATGCAGAAATGTTAAAATGTACTAAAGTATTTAATTAACTGAAGCAAAGTTACAACTCTAGTATCCTTTTGATATTTCTTTTTTTAAAATATTTTGCATGGCTCAAAAGTGAAAGCAATATAAGAAGTTTTCAAAGCACACAAGAGACTGAAATAGTATAGATAGCTGGGTGCAGACTAGAGCACCCAGATATGCTATCATTCGTATAAAAATTAAATATGTCTAGTGGCTTTCTTACTTCAGTCTCTTGTTTGCTTTATACAGTTAACTGGCTCCATACTCCATCCCTTAGGAGATCTAAGTTTCCTTTTGATTTTTTAAGAATGTATTTATTAATTTTTCTTTGGCTGTGCTGGGCCTTTGTTGTTGTGTGTGGGCTTCCTCTAGTTGTGGCTAGTGAGAGATACTCTTACTAGTTGTGCTGCATGGGTTTCTCATCGCAGTGGCTTCTCTTGTTGCAGAGCGCAGGCTCTAGCTACGTGGGCTTCAGTAGTTGTGGCGCACAGGCTTATTTGCCCTGTGGCATATAGGATCTTCCCAGACCAGAGATGGAATCGTGTCCCTTGCACTGGAGCAAGCAGATTCTTAGCCAATGAACCTCCTGCGAAGTCCTCCTTTCACTGTTCTCACTTCATGCCACACCCAACCTTCCTGAACATAACTCCCCCGTGGACTTCTCTCTTTGACCAGTCCCTGCTCCACGCTTCATGTCTTGCTTGCCAGGCTTTCTTAGCTAAGCATACCATACTCTCACCTCTTATCCAAACTACAGAAGAGGTGACTACTGACTGTGAGAGGGGAGCTCTCCCCAGGCCAGTCCTCCCCAAATCCTCCTCTTTTCTGAATTCCTGCAACACTGAGAATCATCATCACACAATCCAGACCATTTCCCATGCAATCTTTTTTCTCTAAAGATGTTCCAATTCAATAGAAAATTGAATAGGAACCACATTTTCTATCTCTTTCAGGGTCCTCAAAGTACTTGAATGAATTGTACTCAGTTTAACTGAATGCATAAAATCTGATTATATGTGTCTATCTTAATTGTTAAACATGTAAACATGTGTGTGCTCATGTATACATTCATTCACAAAGCTAATATTAGACACTACCTTTGCATTTTCTCCTCAAAATTACCAGGAAAACTTTCTACTTTGTATAGACCAGTCTGTTTTCTAATAACAATAGAGAATGACATGTTAGAAATACTTGTCAGAGCTTCGGATCTGCCATCTGCGGAGGAACCGCCGCCAAGGTGCAGATTTTCGTGAAGACCCTGATGGGGAAGACCATCACTCTTGAGGTCAAGCCCCCGGATAGCATAGAAAATGTAAAGGCCAAGATCCAGGATAAGGAAGGAATTCCTCCTGACTAGCAAAGACTGATCTTTGCTGGCAAGCAACTGGAAGATGGATGTACTTTGTCTGACTACAGCATTCAAAAGGAGTCCACTCTTGATCTTGTGTTGAGACTTCGTGCTGGCGCTAAGAAAAGGAAGAAGTCTTACACCACGCCCAAGAAGAACAAGCATAAGAGAAAGAAGGTTAAGATGGCTGTTCTGAAATAACATAAGCTGGATGAGAATGGCAAAATCAGTCGCCTTCGCCGGGAGTGTCCCTCAGATGAATGTGGTGCTGGAGTTTTTATGGCCAGTCATTTCGACAGACATTATTATGGTAAATGTTGTCTCACCTATTGTTTCAACAAACCAGAAGACAAGTAATTGTACATTGGTTAATAAAAATATGAGCTAACATTACAAAAAAAAAAAAAAATACTTGAAGGATCCAGAGAAAAGTCCTTGAACGCTTCTTCAAACACCTCTATGACTTTCCAACAAATCAGTTAACCTCTCTGACCTTCAACTGTTTTCATCTAAAAAATGGGGAGAGGCCCACTTTATGGAGCTATGATGAGCAACTGCCCTCCAATAATTATGTTTTGGTCTATACTTCTCAATAGTGTACAATTATAATCTTTGACAATTAAAAACAATTCAAAAAAATGGTCACAAAATTCTCAAGGTACTTTTTGGCACATGATAAAAGCTCAAAATATGTTATTCAGTTGAGAACCTTAACTATAAACTGGATGGAAGAGAAGGGTGCTGAGCATATGAAAGAAGTCAAGACTGAGTCAGTCGTCTGAGCCTGTGTGACTAGACACAAAATGGCTAAGTCAGAAAGAAGAGTCCCAGCTAAGTTAGGTCAAGAGAGGATGTAGCACTAAGTCAGGGCAAGGTAATGAGATGCATCATATATGTCAATATATTAATATGAACATAAAGGTAAATAGATCACATGGTCTTCTAGGCTACAGATGCAAAGAACTTGGTACAGTTTATCAAACACAAAGTTCCATGAGAAAGTCTAGAAATCTTGTCAAAAGCATAGGAAGCAAAAAAAAAAAAAAGAAGAAGAAGAAAATATGTTATAGGCAAGGATGCTTCTTTACATTTTCAACCTTTCCAGTTTCCCTAGATCTGCAACCCTACACATCTTACTATTTGGAAAACTCACATGTGTGTGTGTTTACACTGACAACTGATTTCAACAAGCATTTATTCTGAGTCACGCGCTATCTGATAGTGATGGTGGGGGAGATGGTGCACAAAGATCAGACTTTGTCCTTCAGGATCCCACGGTTTAAGCATAAAGACAGTTGTGTGAATAATACAAAACAGACTTGGAGGGTGTGGATAACATCAATAGAGGAAGTGCAAAATACAGTAGGAATTTAGGAAGAAGAAAATGAAGAAAACATCATCAGATGGGAAATCTTACCTGAAATTTCAGGGTGGCGAACGAAGCAGAGGAAAGGGCTTTTGGGGCTGAGGGAAGTGCCAAGTATGCTGTGATAAGTAATCCCAGGTCAAGGAGTTGACAAGAGAGGGGAAACCGTGCTAGGAAGAAGCACTGGATCTGTAACTACGGAAGACATGCCAGACTAAGGAGACAGATTTATTCTGAATCCAGTGGGGAGCCTTCAGAGCTTGCTAAATAGAAAAGTGATATCCCAATTTGAGAGCGGATACACGCAAGTCATTCTGACAAAGGAAAGAACAGAACTAGGGAAATGAGATGTGAGATTTTTACAACTGTATACAGGTGAGTAGATAGAAAGGGGCCAAGGGAAAGGAGGGGAGGAACTTGTGAAACATTCAAAAAGAATTTTACAGAATTAGATATGGGGGGTTATAAAGGAAAAAAAATAAGAAGCCTGAGTTTCTGAATTTGAAAGACTGTGACTAATATCTTCCATGCAGAGAAGAAACGCAGGAAGAGAAATCAGTTTTTTAGGGAAGGCTAAAGTAAGAAAAGTATTTTTTTCAAATAGATGGTACTTTTTAAATTAATTTATTTATTTGGACATACATTATGTGGGACTCTTAGTTCCCTGACCAGGGATCGAACCTGTGCACCTTGCACTGGAAGCACAGGGTGTTAACCACTGGACCACCAGTGAAGCCCTAAGAAAGGTAATTCTGATTGAAAATGTTGAAGGCAAAGAGAAAGGAACCAACAGCCCAGGGTTTGCACAGTCCTGGCCTGGCAGGGTCCCCTTCCACAGGTAACCCCACCTGAAATGGAATAGGAGGTGCCCAGAGAGCATCTACCTCAAGATGACTAGCCTGGTCCACAGTTCCATGTAAGGACCGTGGCTCTGAAGAAAGGTAACGGCTAGAGTCCAAGACCTGGGTTTCCTCACAGCACCATTCTCCAAGGAAAACAAGTTAAGAAAGTAAAGAATGGAGACAGATTCAAGGATAATCCAGAGCCTGCTTTTAACTGAAAAGGAAATTTGCCTTTTCATGAATTCTGACTCCTGGATCTTCACTAAAGCATGTCTAACAGAGGTCTTGAACTTTGTTTCTTGGCATCAGTTCCACGTCTATCCTGAACCATGGAGCCCAGAAGACTGAAAACTATGTTTTCCCAAACTGTGCTTCATTTTGGCTTTGCCAGCAGGAGACACACAAATAAGGCAAAAGTAGGGAGGTGCTATATTGCCTTGGTGGGGGCTCCAGTGGCGGCGGTATCTCAGGGCGGGGGAGTCTGTCCCCACAGCGCCAGCAGGAACAGGGGCTCTGGGGCTTCTGGTGAGGCCACTTTCCTCCCTTTGTTCCTCTGGCCCTTGTAACACTTTCGTCAACAATTCTCTGTGTTAAATCCTCTGCTGCTTAGGATGCCTGCAGTGGTCCTGAATGTGGAAAGTGACTGATCCTTACAATAGATATCATGTAGGAAAAACGGAATGCTAGACATGACCTAAGCAACCCGTTAAACATGATGTTCAGGAGGACTGAAGCAATCACTGCAATTTTAAAAAGAAAAGCAACATCCTAAATTGAGATGACCATATGTCAAGTTTCCTTATACTGACCATGAGACTCCAAGGTATTTCCGTGAATTCCACTCAGAATAAACTAATTTATAAATTTCTCTTAGGAAAGCATCAAAAATTTTAATAAACAGAACCTTTAATTAAACAGAAGGAAAGGAAATTTCTCACACCCTATGAGGATGGTAGAGCCAAGAGAAAGAAAAAGGCGCCTCTTCCTTCTGGGCCAGGACTCAGTCAGGGAAAATCCATGCACCCGTTTACTGTAGTCTTCCCAGCTTCCTTCTCCTTCTCCTTCTCCCCTTTGTAGAGTTCTCCTCCCCTTGCTATGGGAGATTGGCGCTGGCTCGTCATGGCTGCAGACCCCGAATAGCAATTCTCTGTTGATCCCGAATAAACCATTTTTTTTGCTGGGGACCATCTGGCCGTGTAGTCTTTACTTCAGGTCAACAAAAGACAGCCAGGATGTACCACAGGCAAGAGACCATTGCATATCCCTGCCTCACATCAAGCTCCGGGCCAAACTGGGAGACTGCCCAGGCACTCTGACTAGCTGAAGGCAGGGGTGGACACCAGAGGTCCAAAGGGGAAACAGTGACTGAGCATGGAACAGCTACTAACAAAAGAATGACTAGTGTAATTAAAATTACCTAACATATAGAGTATTAGCTATGTGCCTAACATATTTTATTTCATTTAATGCTCAAAATGTCATATAAGGCTGGTGCAATTATTATCCACACTTTATCCCCAGATAAAGAAACCAAGATATAGAGAAATTAAGGTCACACAGGTGGAAGTGGTAAATCATGAATAATCTGTCATTTCAAAGAATGTACACTTTCTAAAGGAAGAAGGAATATGGAAAAAAAAAAAAACAATGTCTGATGGACTGGGTAAATTGGTCTTAAATTACCATTAAGTCAAGATAAAGGCATGCCACATTCCAATTCTAGGGAGTAAAGAAATGGTTTTTGAGAGAGCTATTCAAAGCTCGAATGCTATGTGAATTGTACAAAATGCACAAAATTGCCTCTAACCAAAAATGTCAAGAATCTGCTCTTGTAGAATAATCTATGTTATTTCCTCTCTGACTGGCCTGGAACCACTCTTGAAGGCAACATTTCAATGACAAAGAGATTGTTCCTGAATGTGACTGGGGAAAAGTCATCACTAGAGGAGGAAGAGAAATATAGCGTTCTTTCCCTGAAGAATAAAAAAGTACTAAAAGCTTCGCAGGCAGTGTTATCCATTATGTGAGGTGCTGACAGGAAATATAGATGGAGTCCAGAGAGGAGAAGGGAGTGAATCAAAGGTGACCTAATTCAGCGATGATTTTATGGACTGAACGCTGCCATGCAGAGATTCAGAGTCACTTTGACCCTCGTTCATACAGTGACTATAACTAGACATCCCCAAAGAGGTAGTCACATGAGTGTGTGTTCTCACAGGTGAGTGTGCTTATCTGAGCAGGCTAGGAGACGGGAGTGAGGCCACAGGAAAGTGGAAACTGAGTGCAAAGAGTCTGTAAGAAATAAGAAGAGAGAGCCAGTAGCTATTTCAGACCAACAGAAAGCCAGCACAATGCTGATTCATATAGGATTTTCTAGTTTGCAAAATACTGGGTTGGCCTAAAAGTTCATTCAGGTTTTTCCATAAGCGCATACAGAAAAATTCGAATGAACTTTTTGGCCAACTCAATATTTTAACTGTCATTTGATCCTCATTTATGAGCCATGTTTTAGGACTTTCTGAATATTACCGATAAGGAAAGTGAGCTTGACAACAGCTGAACAGTTTCCTGGGGTCTCAGAGCTTTTGAACTGTGAAGCTGGGGCTCCGGACCCCAGAGCTGGCACTTTCTATCCTCTGAAGACATGGCTGTCAATGTAAATGAAGGGTCTGAGGAAAAAAATCATGCTGATTGATGAGATGTGGATGTAAAACAATGTAAACACATCCGGCTCTTTAAAAATGTTTCTCGATGTTGAAAAGAGAAATTAAATCATCATAAATGGCCACGTACCTTACTACTGACAGCCCAGCTCCAATATAATTGAGCAGCGGTTTTGCCACTTCTTCCGCATCCATTCCAAACCAGCCAAACCTGGAAATGGAGAAAGTCACATCAAAGTGGATGTTGCGCTGTTTGCAGAGACATGGATGGACCTAGAGACTTGTCATATGGAGTGAGGTAAGTCAGAAGGTAATCTATGATAAAATATCACATATTAATGCATATGTGGAATATAGAGAAACAATACAGATGAACTCATCTGCAAAGCAGAAATAGAGACACAGGTGTAAAGAACAAACATACAGACACTAAGAGGTGGAAGCGGGGTGAGATAAGTTAGGAGACCGGGACTGACATATATATAACTACTAGGTATAACATAGGTAACTAATGAAAACCTAGTATATATAGCACAGGAAACTCTACTCAATGTTTTATAATGATCTATACGGGAAAACGATCTAAAAAAAAGTGGATATATGTGTATGTGTAACTGATTCACTTTTCTGTAAAGTAGAAACTAACACGACATTATGAAACAACTATATTCCAATAAAATAAATAAATAAATTGTCAAAAAGCAGATATTCTTGAATATGTGTTTATCACACTGTTTAAGGCCATGGACTCAAGGTCAGATCCCTGATTTAAACCCTAGGTCCATCATTTACTAACTGTGACTTGGATAAGTTAACTACCTTTATTGTGTCTCAATTTCTCATGTTTAAAATGGGGATAATTATACCTATAATTATACCTAATATACAGGTTTCTTATGAAGATTAAATGAGTCAGTATATGTAAAAGTACTTGTCTAAAAGAAAACTCCTTTTCATTTTAAGACTAAGAAATAAAGAAGAAAAAATAGGTTAAGTGGCTAACTGAATGCTGTTAAGTTGACTGCAATTCTGTATAGTACTTGAAATAAACTTCAGTGACTATTTGGTTAAAGATCTCTACTCTTTGGCATCACTTTAAATTCTGTTTTTAATGCCTTGTTCTTGCAGTGACCATTACCAATAATCACTGTGAACCATCCAAGGGTGAGAAAAATGGAGGCAAGAAGAAAACAGCACTTGTAAAAGGCAGAGTGGGGGTGGAGAAAAGACAGGAAAGAATGTCTTGGAAGTTCGTTTGCTTCATTATAACTGAGGTTGCTGTAGTGCTTTGAGTAGGAAGAGGAGCTGGAAAAGTAAGGTTAGAATAAAATCCTCCTTCTATTTATCATCCCAAACTCAACTGGAATGTTCATCTGAATGCTGACAGAGGGTGGTGCAGTCCAACAGGACTTCTCTAATGTTCCATGGCTGTCCCATGGTTGCACAGGGCAGCTTCTAACCAGATACAGTGATGGAGCACTTGACATGTGGCCAGTACCACTGAGGAACTGAATGCTTAATTTTATCACATTTTAATTAATTTAAATATACACAGCCACATGTTTTGTGGCAACCCCATCTGACAGCTCAACTCTAGAGCTGAGGGGTTGGCTAACTTTCCCATAAAGGGCCAGAGGGTAGATATTTAGGCTTTGTGGATTGGACGGGCTCTGGCAGCTACTTACCCCTGCCTTTATGGGGTAAAAACAGCCATGCTGTAGACGCTCCTAAAAGGGTGTGTTTGGCTGTGTACCAACAATATTTTATTTACAAAGTGGAAGCTGGGCAATGATTTGCTGATCCTGGCTCAGACCCTACAGGGAAGAATATAGACTCTAGAACTATCAGACCTGGGTTTGAACTCGGTTCATTAGCTCTGCGACCTTCAACAAGTCACTCATCTTTTTGTGGGTCAGTTATCTTCTAAGACAGCACCTACCTCATTTATTTGTGGATATAAGATTAGAATGATGATGTGTACAACAGGTGAAACAAAACTGTCACACGTAGAAAGGGAAAATAAATATCAATGCCCTTTCTCTCTCTCCCTCTTTCATTCTCTAAAGAAAATTATTTATCTTGATTGGCATGTTAGATCACTTCTTTAGAATTATTAAGGCAAATAATTCAAGGTAGCACATGTTATGTGTATGTCTTACAAGAAGTGACCTTTGTGAAGGCAAGAATCAGCGTTTGCCTTACACAAAATGTGAGTGCAAAGAATCTGATTTGGATGGGGAGGGAGGTGGGAGGGGGGATCAGGAAGGGGAAGACATGTAAATCCATGGCTGATTCATGTCAATGTATGGCAAAAACCACTACAATACTGTAAAGTAATTAGCCTCCAACTAATAAAAATAAATGAAAAAAAAAAGAAAATATCCTATTTTGTGTTACCTTGAGCTTGCCCATCCAGTTAAGGCATTAAATGATCCCCAGATTAAGATTCCAAGGCCCAAACCAATGGTTTTGATAATTGGGACAACAGCTATGTTACCTGTAGATGAAACATACAGAAGAAAGATGTTATTTTTCAATACAGAAAATCTATTTATAAATTAAATTAGCTTTAATTTCAGATGAAGCTTATGGGATTTGGATTAACTTAGTAAAGCTTAGTTCTTCATTTTAAAAATAAAACAACCAATGTTTGGCATTAACCTCATGAATATGATTGCTAAAAGAGCCAGGCTTAGGGAAAAATCCTACAAAGAAAATGTTAAATGAGCTCTTTGCCTAACTGCACCAATGTTCTTCATCCTTAGTGTGGGTCTCCTTTGTTTGACTTTTTTGCAGAAGTTGGTCAATGATAAAATTAATGGTGACCACCCTCTTAGACTGGAACTAGGACCAACCACTGGCAGATGTCCTTGGCTCCATATGGCCCCAGACTTTGCTCTGTCATACTCATTTACTTGCCTTTTGGATTGCCCTACCCAGTGCTTTGTACTCTTGAGGGTCACTCAGGACCAAATTCATGGTCATTTTTTTTTCCCCCAGTTCCTGACCTGCTGTCTGACTTAGTCAATATCCTCTCAAAAGGGATTCTCTCTTGGTTTCCAAGATGCCTTCATCATCAGATGCCCTCCTGTTTCTCTCTTTCTTTGGCTGTTCTTTCTCATCATACCATCTGGATTTAGGTGCTTTCTAAAAATTATCCCTAAAATACACTCCTCTTCTTGCTATATTCTTTGGGCACTTGACTTAGTTTCATGATTTCAGCTATCAGGTAGAGACACATGCTTCCAGCACTAGCCTGGGCCTTCTCCAGAGCTTTAGTGCCAATAAGAGATTACCAACCAGATGTCCCTTATTATGGGAATATTAGGAACTTTAAACTAAAAAGGTCCCAAGCTGAAGTCATCATTTTCCCTTTCATCCACGTTCTTCTCCCTTTTCTCCTCATCTGTGTCAATGACACTGTCACTCTCCTAATCACCTACAACAAAATCCCTACATCACCATGAACTCTTCCCCTTCCTCTACTCCCTACATCCAGTTAGCTACTGTGTTCTACACTGTGAGATGGTTAGATAGCATCACTGCATCAGTGAACATGAATCTGAGCAAACTCTGGGAGATAGTGGAGGGCAGAGGAGCCTGGAGGGCTGCAGTTCACGGGGTCCCAAAGAGTCAGACACAACTTAGCAACCGAAGAACAATACCGTGACCTACATCATCCCAGTCTGCAGCAATTCTCAAACTAAACTCTTCCCACGAACTCCTTGAACCATAAGAAGGCTGAGTGCTGAAGGACTGATGCTTTTGAACTGTGGTATTGGAGAAGATCCTTGACAGTTCCCTGGACTGCAAGATCAAACCAGTCCATCCTAAAGGAAATCAATCCTGAATAGTCACTGGAAGGACTGATGCTGAAGCTCCAATACTTTGGCCACCTGATGCTAAGAGCTGACTCATTAGAAAAGACCCTGATGGTGGGCAAGATTGAAGGCAGGAGAAGAAGGGGACAATGGAGGACGAGATGGTTGGATGACATCACCAACTCAATGGACGTGAGTTTGAGCAAACTCCAGGAGATGGTGAAGGACAAGGAAGCTTGGCGTGCTGCAGATGGGGTCGCAAAGAGTCAGACACAGCTGAACAACTGAAGAACAACAAGCAACTCCTAGTGTGAACAGCTGTTTGAACATAAATACTGTGGTGGTTGTCAAGATCTGCAGCATGAATGATTGCTTTCTCTGTTCCCCTCTCCTATTCAAAATGATGATCACAATGGTACTAAAGCATACATGAGGTATAATAATTACAACTCGAGTGCAAATTTAACTCTTTTGTCCTCCAACTCATCATCTTCACTAAATCACTTAATTCTGTAAAGATTCAAATTAAGTAGTTGCCCAATAAATTTTTAACATGTAAACATCTATTTGCTTTTAATCAAATTAACTCTAGAAATCCTCGATTTTCTTTGTTAAACTCTCCTGGGGTATATATTTATATTAATAGAAGAAAAATATTCCTGATAGGCCAAGCAAAGGCATAAGCTCTAGCTATAAAATTTCAGGCAATAGTGATAAGGCAACAGAAGGAAGATTTTTGTTTGTTTTTCTTTTTCTGCCAGCGCTTTTGAAATGATACTGTGTGTGTGTTTGTCTACTTCTAAGGACAAGTCCTAAAAATGCTATTAGTAGAGATGATTATTTAATAAGTATTTTCTGATAGACATGCTAGAGAAAGGGCAGAGCACTTATGCTTGAACAAACAGCAAGTGAAACAATTTTCCTATAATAATTTTATACAATGATATAAGTATAATAATTTTGCTATAATGATTTTCTTGCAGGAACAAGAAAGAAACCACTAAAAGGAAAGAGTCAGGAAAAATATCTGAGTCAAAAATATGAACCAAAATATTTATGGAGTGTATAAATGAAAGAAACGAAATCATTAATTTCTAGTATCTATCGCCATTTCCTGCTATTACGATCATAGTATCAAATGACTAAAGGATAAGTTATATCATACATTACCTGTTGCCCAAATGCAGCCCCCAACCATTGCAAAAGGCCAAAATTTAGGGCAATGTAGTATCAGATTTACCACCAAGGCAACCAACCATATAGCAGCACAGAGTACCCACTGGAGAAACATCCCTAGAAATAAAAAAATCGGTGTCAGGGGTTCAACCTGCTATAAGAAAATTGGTGCTTAGGAATATCAATGAGATGTTCTAATAACAGTCACAATTTATTGACTGCTTATATTCTAGATGCTTTACACCTCTATTATAACACCTGTAACTACTATGCATCATAATTAACCCTAGTTCAAAGACAGAGAAAACAAATCTGAGATGAAGCAACTTGTTCAAATAGCTAACAGTTTGTAAAACTAGAATTCAAACTTACTTGGCTCCAAAGCTTGCTCTATATTGTGCATTCCTGCTTAACAGGGATCAAGAATTTTCTGCCAAAGAGTAAGGGCAAGACCAAGTCAATATATTTTTATTCAGATGTCACACTTAGTGCCATTCCTGACCAAAGAGAACGGCATTAAGAATTTCAGAATAGCACAGTAGTAATTTGAACCTTTGGAGATCATATGAGTCACTCTGAGATAAACATAAAGCCCTTTATGGCCACACGTGGGATCCACGCACTTGGAGTCGAGTGTCTGTGATGAGGCAGACATTCCAGACCTGAGAATCAGGCTTTCTACATCAGGGCTACTCCCCTTCCTATGCTCTTGGCTGCCATCTGCCAGTTCCTGGAAGGTCATGTGGTGATATAGGGTGTATCTGTATCTTTCTGAGGCTCAGAAAGAAGGTTCAGGGATTAAAAGGACACAGAAAACATCAACATTGGAAGAAATACTAAGGTTGTTAAAACTCAACGTATTTATAGCACTTTAGACTCTATCGGAAGAGTTTTGCTTATTTCTACTCAATCTCATGGTGGAGGAGAGGAAAACATCTGTTAACCTCTAAAATTAGGAACACAGAGATGAAAGGGAACTTCGTTTTACAAGCCCTTCATTTTACAAATGAGAAACAGAACAAACGAGCTGATCAGGCTTCCCGGGATCACACGGTTCTTGTAAAACCCCGAAAGCCAGGTCCTCTACCCTTTGGCATCTTTTTTGTTCTTCTTCTAGTACTTGTTATTCCTGTTTTGACTCCAATGGGAAAAAGAAGAAAGGCTATGGAAGGAAAGGATCTGCAACTCTATTGTCCAGTAGCATAAAGACATAAGAAATTGGGGGTGATAACATAATGCTTCTCACCAGACTTTCACCATAACATCCCCAATTCCTTTTCCTGGCTTTAATAGGAAAAGCAAGTGGATAAAAACAACTGTTACTTCTCTTTCCTTGCATTCACATTATAGTCAATTCTATGATAATGTGACATGTACGTTTCAAAAATCACTGCACTAGGTAAAAAAGTGTGATAAAACCCACAGAGCTCATGGGGGAATTGGGGCTGAGGATACAACACTTGAAAACGTCATTAAAAAAAAGGTATTAAAAAGCTTCCCTGGTGGTTCAGTGCTAAAGAATCTGCCTACCAATGCAAGAGACACAGGTTTGATCCCTGGTCCGGGAAGACTCCACATGCTTGGGAGCAATTTAGCCCACGTTCCACAACTATTGAGACTGTGCTCTAGAGCCCAAGAGCTGCAACGACTGAAGCCTGCACACCCTGGAGCCTGCACTCCACAGAAAGAGAACACTGCAATGAGAAGCACTCGAACTGCAGCAAGGAGTAGCCCCCGCTGGCTGCACCTATAGAAAAACCCGCCCAGCAGCAAGGACCCAGTGCTGTCAAAAATAAACAGATAAAATTATTTTTTTAAAAAGCAAGCCTAATAAAAAATGGTAGTACAGCTTTATACTGGTTAAGTGGTTAAGAAATTCACAAATTCTGTAATAAATATGGCACTTTAGCTTGTAAAAGACATGAAGTTTACTTAAGCAAATGAGTGTCAAAAGTGTTGCAACCCATGAATTATTGCAAAGGTTGGGAGGGTTTGAACACCAGATGTGGATGGGTGTGGTGGTTTGAGGCAGAGGGTGTGAGCACATTTTGTGCATTGCTATGCACCTTTATCCATCTGGGTACAGTTTTCTGTGTTCATGTAGGTTTGTCAAAGTCAAAATTGTGTATGAGCAAGCACAAAATTTGTGTTATGAGCAAATTGCTTCCTTTTGTATCATTTGTGTTGGAAATTCGTGTTTTAAAAAGCAAGTATTATTACAGAACTGACTTCTTTCATAAACACAGCTTTTGTTGCTGAACTTGTTCAGCTCCTCTGTCCACAGGATTCTCCAGGCAAGAATACTGCAGTGGGTTGTTATTTCCTTCTCCAGTGGATTTTCTCAGACCAGGGGTTGAACCCATGTCTCCTGACTTGGCAGGCAGATTCTTTACCACTGAGCCACTAGGGAAACCCATAAACATAGCAGACATGGCTAAAAAGTTTCCTTCATCCTAGCTTTACCATGAAACAGAATATTAAGGTTATCCTATACTGACTAGCACTTAGATAACCTGGCATGGGCATTATCAACTGCTTATTTTAAGCTCTATTCATTTGGCATCTGGCACAGAAAAATTCATTTTTACAGTCATCATTTAAAGAAGACCAAAACAGTGAACTTCACATTTAAAATTAATTTAAGGTTAACAATGAAGAAAACATAATTACCATCGCCAGTCTCATATTTTTTAAGTGGTACAAAGTTTGAGCCGAATAAAACGATGGCTACAATAGAAGCAATGAAACCAGTGCTGAGGTCTGTTCCATTACTGCTCATGGCTCTGGTGCTGCCCAAGAACAAGCTGATTCACTTTTGACTTGATGTTCTTTTCAAGAGCTTCTGAAATAAAAGAAATCAAAATGAAACAATTAAGAAGCTGTGAATCTGTGAGCAAATTATGATCAATACATGACATTTACTAAGTTTTTCAGAAGTATGGTACGATTCCTTTATCTAGATTAAAAACTTAGGACATTATGAATTTATGTCCACACCCCACATTAATTCATTTTCTTCATTTATTTTGCCAACAAACATTTTTTGACTACTGACCTAAATAAAATCAACCAAAAAAACAAGCAAATTTTGTCTTCAGAGTTTGAAAAATCTAACTTCTTCCAAGATCTGGCTACAATTTGTATGATATTTTAGAGAAATTCGCCTGTGTGGGTAGACTGGTATAATGAAGATTTGTGGACCAAAGTTCTATTCATTTCAATTGGGGCTTGTGACAATTACGTGTGAGCACATGTGAAGACTGAGAACTATCAGCATCTTCTGAGCACAAGCTCTTCTGCTATTTGAAACACAAGCTTAAGGGCATATTTAAGTTGTATTGTTGCTACATACTCAGGATCCCCTAGAGGTAAAGTCATTTTTCTTCATCAGTAGCACCCTTTCAGTGTATAATAGTTCAAATAGTTTAGTTCATGAAACTATCTTTTATGACTTGAAAAAAAACCAACACTGAACAGATAGAAGAATCTCCTACAGACCTCTTCAACAACCTCCTAAATCTCTTGAAGGTGGCCAACATGTTGGAGTGGGAAGGCTCTGAACTCACCTCCTCCCATGGACATACCAAAATCACAATTATTTACAGAGAAACCATCAATGAAAGTGACCTGAATACTAGCAGAAACAATCTTCTACAACTAAAGAAATAAAGAAGGAACCCTAAGGGGATTTCCTGGTGGTCCAGTGGCTAAAACTCTGTGCTTCCACTGCAGGGGGCATGGGTTTGATCCTTGGTCAGGGAACTAAGATCTCACATACCATGAAGTGCAGCAGCAAAAAAAAAGAAGGAACCCCACAGGGATGGGAAGAAAGGTAGAGACACAGTAGAGTTGAGACCCATACCTGTTTGTACGGCGACCAACAAAGAGTATGATAATCCTAACTGCTGGGATTCTGCCAAGGTGAGGGGCCCAAGTTCCATACTGGGCTCCCCACACTGGGGGTACTGCATGGGGAAGAGGGCCCCATGCTTTGAAGAGAACCCTTCTAGTTTTGAAGGCCAGAGAGACTTGCATTTGGAAACCCAGAGGGCTGCAGAAAACAGAGACTCTGCTCTTAAGAGGACACACGTAAAATCTCACACGTTCCAAGATGCAGAGCAGAGGTTGTCATATGAAAGGAGCTGGGTCAGACCCCTTGCTAGTCTTAAAAAGTTGCCTGGTGAGGAAGGAGGTAGCTAACGCTCACTCTGGGGATGCAGATGTTGACAACGGCTATTTTGGGGACCTCAGTCTGCCAGGAAGATGCTGGAAAGCACCATTTTGAAATCCTCCCACTAACCTGGCCTCACCCAAAGGCCTGCTGGCACCATTCCTGTGGTGACCCAGGCCAAGCAACCAGCAAGGCAGGGACACAGCTTGACCTACTAGCAGACCAGTAGCAGCCATAGGTAGGCCCCTGTTAGTCCCCAGTATTCCCAGGACTTGACCCTGCCTACTGACACCAGCATTGGGACGACTAGGACCTGGCCCTTCATCGGCAAGTCCAGACTAGCTCCAGAACCTCCTGGCTTGTAGCTAGCTACCACAGGACTTGACTCAGCATTAGGGGGTCCTAGAGCTAGTCCTAGCCTACCAGTAGAACACGTGAGATTTCGCATTCACCTTTTAAAAGCAAAGTCTATTTCCACCAGTGCATAGCGCTAGCTCCATGACCTCCTGGTGCACGTCAGTCAGCTGCGTTAGGACCTGGTCTCACCAACCAGCAGGTGGGCAGCAGCCCTGGGATGACCTGGACCCCATAGCCAGCTATGCTGAGACTTGGCCTGGCAAGCAACTGATCTGAGGGCCAACCACACCAAGCAATGTACCCACAGTAGTTAGCTCTAACGCAACAGAAGGGTTCATGCAGTCCATATAGAGGGTACCCCTAGCGCTCTGGTGATCAGAGAGGAGTGTTATGCTGGGATGCATAGGATGTCTACTACTTATGGCTGCTTCTCCAAGATCAGAAAATATAGCCAACCTACCTAATACGGAGTAACAAAAACAAAGAACTGGAAGAATGAGGTGACAGAGGAATAGTTTCAAGATAAAAAAACAAGATAAAACTAAACAAGAAAAGCTAAGTGAAGTGAAGAGAGAAATTTACCCAGTGAAGAGTTCAGGTAATGATCATAAAGACACTCAAGGAACTTAAGAATGGATGAAACAATAAGAATTTTAACAATGAGCTAGAAAATATGAAGAAGCAAAGAGAGGTGAAGAATACAACTACTGATATAAAAAGTACACTAGAGAAAAATAACAGTTGGCAATTAGATGATACACAGGAAGGGATCAGCTAACTGGAAGACAGCATAGTGGAAATCACCCAAGCTGAACAGAAAGAAAAAATTTAAAAAATTAAGGATAGTTTAAGAGATCCTTGGGACAACATCAAGCATCTAACATTCACATAGGGCTCAGTCACTTTAGTCGTGTCTGACTCTTTGCAACATTATGGACTGTAGACCCCCAGGCTCCCCTGTCCATGGGATTCTCCAAGCAAGAATACTGGAAGGGGTTGCCATGCCATTCTCTAGGGGATCTTCCTGACCCAGGGATCAAACCCACATCTCTTATGTCTCCTGCATTGCAGGCAGATTCTCTACCTCTGAGCTACCAGAGAAGCCCAGCACTCACATTAAAAAGTGCCAGAATGAGAAGAGAGAGAAAAAGGGAAGAAAAAGTTACTTGAAAACATAATAGTTAAAATTTTACAAACAGCTCATGTAGCTCAAAATGCAAAAAAATAAAATAAAATAAAAACATCAAAAAATGGGCAGAAGACCTATTATATGATTCAGCAACTCTGGGCAGAGAAAAATGTGGTTAAAAAGTATACATGCACCACAATGTTCACCACAACACTATTTACAAAAGTCAAGATATGGAAGCAACCATAAGTGAAAAAAGATATATATATATATAGATATATATAAATGCCAAAATTCCTCAATTAAAAAAAAACAAATGAAAGGATAAAGAAGATATGATATGAATACACAATGGAAGATTCAGTTCAGTTCAGTTGCTCAGTCGTGTCTGACTCTGCAACCCCATGAATCGCAGCATGCCAGGCCTCCCTGTCCATCACCAACTCCTGAAGTTTACTCAGACTCACGTCCATTGAGTCAGTGATGCCATCNTCTTCACTTTCATTACTCAACCATAAAAAGAATGAAATAACGCATTTGCAGTAACATGGATGGACCTGGAGAGTACCATACTAAGTGAAGTAAGTCAGACAAAGACAAATATCATATGATATCGCTTACATACTCAATCTAAAAAAACAAAAACCAGATACAAATGAACTTATTTACAAAAGAGAAAGAGACTCACAGACTTAGAGAACAAACTTATAGTTACCAAGGGAGGATGGTGAAAGAGGAGGAGTTTGAGATTGGTAAGTACACACTGCTCTATTTAAAATAGATAATCAACAAGGGCCTACTGTAAAAAAAATAAAGAATAATAATAATAGCTGAAACTTTCTATAACCTTAGAAAAGAAACAGAAATCCAGATCCAGTAAACAAAAACTTCTCAAACAAGATCAAATCAGAGAGGTCCACACTAAGACACATTATAAACAAAACAGTAAAAATTAAAGAGAGAATATTAAAAGCAGCAAGGAAAAAGCAACTAGTTACATACAAGAGAACTCCCATAATAGTGTCAGCTAACTTTTCAGCAGGAACTTTGCAGCCCACAGGGAGTGGCAAGATATATTTTGGTGATGAAACCAAGATGGCTTTATTCCAGGGATGCAAGGATATTTCAATGTCTGCAAATCAATCAGTGTGATACACCACATTAACAAATTGAAGCATAAAAACCATATGATCATCTCAATAGATGCAGAAAGAGTTTTTGACAAAATTCAATATCCATTTATGATAAAAACTCTCATACTAAGAGTTAGTATAGGATAGAGAGAGAGCAAACCTTAATATAATAACAGCCATATATGATGAACCTGGGGCTTCTCTGGTGGCTCAGTGTTAAAGATCTGCCTACCAGTGCAAGAGACACAAGAGATGCGAGTTCGATCCCTGGGTCACAAAGATCCCCTGGAGAAGGAAATGGCAACCCACTCCAGTATTATTGCCTGGAAAAATCCATGGATAGAGAAGCCTGGCGGCACCTACACACAGCTAGGTGGTGGTGTGTGCAGCGGGCATGGGCATGATGAACCTACAGCTAACATCACTCAACAGTGGAAAGCTGAAATCATTTCCTCTAAGAATAGGAACAAGATAAAAGATGTCCACTCTCATCACTTTTGTTGAATGCAGTATTGGAAGTCCCAGCCATGGCATTGTGGACAAAAAAAGAAATAAAAGGAATTCAAATTGGAAAGAAAGATGTAAAACTGTCACTGTCTGCAGATTACATGATAATATCTATGCTGCTCCTGCTGCTGTTAAGTTGCTTCAGTCGTGTCCAACTCTGTGCGACCCTATGGACAGCAGCCCACCAGGCTCCTCCGTTCACGGGACACTCTAGGCAAGAATACTGGAGTGGGTTGCCATTTCCGTCTCTAAAAATGCATCAAAAACGTGAGAACTAGTATATGAATTCAGTAAAGCTGCAGGGTACAAAATTAAAATATAGAAATCTGTTGCATTTCTGTACACTAGTAATGAACTATCAGAGAGAGAAATTAATTAAACAATCCCATTTACAATAGCATCAAAAAGAATAAAATCTCTGGGAATAAATCTAACCACAGAAGTAAAAGATCTGTACTTGGAAAACTATAAGACATTGATAAAATTGAAGATGACACAAATGGAAATATATACCATGCTCATGGATTAAAAGACTTAGTGTTGTT